AAGCAACAAAATGAAGTGGAAAATACGAGAGGAAAATGTGCTGATCACAAAAAGGAGGGGGAAAAGGTTTCGAGTGACAAGTCAGCGTTTTGAGACGGAGGGGGAATTCTCAAGTGCGTCTCAAAACACTGATCACAAAAAGGAGGGGGAAAAGGTTTCGAGTGACAAGTCAGCCACAGGAGGGGGAATTCTCAAGTGCTCTCACCTTTAGGGATGCTCGCCGTCGGAGCAGATAGAGCAAGAGGGCAGTCTTCCTGCGAGGGGTCACACAATAGGCCAGCTGCTTCACTGGTGGCAATGGGTGGCAATGGGTGGCAATGGGTGGCAATGGGTGGGAATGAGTGGCAATGGGTGGGAATGGGTGGCAATAGTTGGCAATGGGTGTCACGAGTGGGAGGAAAAGGCTTAGGCAGCATGAGTGGGTGACATGACATAAATTCGCAGAATTCTCTAAACTGAATATGCCACGCCACAGGGAGCATACGCGGGTGACACACCAGGCAGCATATTTTTGAGGCGCCTCAAAAACAGAATTCACTAAACTGAATATGCCATGCCACAGGGAGCATACTCAGGTGACACACAAGGCGGCACCCAACCCACTTCACTGTCGCAACGGGCCACGGCTTTTTAAGGCTCCTAAAGAAAAGCCACCCACTTTCCTGGCGCAATGCAATGAGGCACGAGGGATGAGGGTGTTTTTGAGACGTCTCAAAAAGAAGTGATTCACCAATGCCCTCACTTCACGTAGAAAAGCCACCCACTTTCCTGGCGCAATGCAATGAGGCACGAGGGAAGGGAGAAACTCCCTCTGTGGGAAGATAATGCACATGCGAGACTCGAGGGAGAAGAGGGTAGTTACCCAACGGTTTGTCCGATGATGAGGGTTGAACGATCAGCATGTCCCCTCTGGGAGCAAAGCGGCGCAGCAGGAGCTCCGATTCGGGGAGAATGGTGGCAGATACGAGGATGACCTGCGGAATGCAGGGGGGGTAAAAAGTGGTGAAGAGGGGTGGAGAGGGGTGGAGAGGAGTGGCGAGGAGAGCAGCAGCTCTGACTCGGGGAGAATGGTGGCGGATACAAGGACGACCTGCGAGGAGTGCAGAGGGGTGGACAGGATTACAAACAGGTACAGAGGGGGTGCAGGGGTGTGCGGAGGAGTGCGAAAGAGAGCACCAGGTCTGATTCGGGTAGAACAGAAGCAGACATGAGGATGACCTGGGAAGAAGGGGCAGGTGAAAAAGAAATTTACCTGCATGTGTGGCCGAAGATCCTTTTTCTTGCCCGCCTTGGCCCTCTGCGGTCTGGGCAGCAGCGAAAAAACTTTCCTCAGGTCCTCCAGCAGCCCCATCTCGGCCATCTTGTCACACTCCTCCACCACCCAGTGCCGAACCTGCCCTAGAAAATCTTTTGGCAGGCAGCTTGGAACAAGACCCTGAGTTTTCCTTTTCCCATTGTCAATCCCAACATTCAGCTCCGACCCTCCTGCCAAGTCCGGTGCTGTCGTTTTCCCCGCAGCCGTTTCGGATTCTGTCCATTCCTCAGCTTTTATAGATGAACTGGGCGCATCTCCAGATGAAACGGGTTGACCTCCAGATGAACCGGACTCAGGAAGGGCGGTTTCAGTTGTAACGCCTTCAGGTGCAACTGTGGTTCTGGTTGGTATCAGTGGTCCAAGAGGAGGATGTTTCTCGGAAGCTGCCTGTAATAGATGCATGGGAGGAAGAGAGGAGCCGAGGTGAGGGTAGGAGGGGAAGGAGGCGGTTGCTTTGAGCTTGGATTGATGGGTGTGTCGGATGTTTAGAGTCGGGGGCAACAAAAAAAAAAAAACAAAAACAAAAACAAAAACAAAACAAAACAAAACAAAACAAAACAACAACAACAAAAGTTTGCGAGGAAGGCACACTGTACAGACGCAATGAGCAGCCACTCGCTTACCCAATCCAACACAGCCCACCCTCAGCATTCTTACCTTTCGGAAGAGTCTCAGCAGGCGGCCAGGCGTGGCGACCAGAACGTGGGGTGGAAACGAGTGGCCAACTCAAACCCAAATGCCTCGAAAACCACAGCCCTTACCAGCCTCTCTCACCCAATGCAGCACACCCCACCCTCACCTCTCGGAAGAGCCTCAGCAGGCGGCCAGGCGTGGCGACCAGCACGAGGGGCGGGCGGCAGTGCAGAGAGCGCACCTGAAGGGCTATGGGGGTGGGGGGGAGGCATGAGGAGCATGAGAGGCAGGAGGGGAATGAGGGAATGAGGGAATGAGGGAATGAGGGAATGAGGGAATGAGGGAATGAGGGAATGAGGGAGGGGCAAGACGCATGGCAACGGTCGCATGGGGCGGGCAGCGCTTGAAGAGAAAAACCAAGAGCGCACCTGAGCCCACCAAGATCGAAATCAAGATAGAAAAAAAGGGCGCCAACTGTTACATTACTTGCCTGAGACGCAGCTTGCTGTGCTGCAGCCGCAGTCACCACGTCAACCGTCAGATCTGGCACGAAGCGAGTGAGCCAAGAAAACCAGGCTCTATGGCAGTACACTAACCAATCAGAGACCCCCACTTGCCTGAGACGCAGCTTGCTGTGATGCAGCAGCCGTCACCACATCAACCGTCAGCTCCGGCACGAAGCGAGTGAATCGCCGAACCTCCTCCGCCACCTGATTGGCCAGCTCCAACGTGGGCGTCAGAACAAGACAAAACGGGCCACTGGCAGCAACGGCAGCGGTGGCGGCAGCGGCACCACTGCCAGCTGGCGCGCTGCGATTGGCTGCTGCTGAGCGTTTCCCTTCTTGGGGGCGTTTGTGGAGTTGGCGCAGGCGAGAGGAGGGGATGTGGGGAGGAGAGAAGAGGGAGGAGGAGAGGGTGGGGAGGTGGAGGAGGTGGAGGATGGGGAGGAGGTAGGCGAGGGTCTTGCCTGTGCCTGAAGGGGAGGATACGAAGAGCTGGGAGGGAGGGGGGGAGGGAGGGAGGGAGGGAAGGGGGGGATAAAGGACATGGAAAACAGGGAGAGTGAAAAGACAGCGTCAAGAACGGAAGCATGACCTTTGCGGTGCCTCATACGATGAGCAGATGATGCAGAATGGGACACTTGTAAGAATTCTCATGACTTTAGAGCAACCTCAAAAGCTTAGTGAATGAAATACGCAAAGTGGGACCTTTTCACAGCTCATTGCTCAAAACCCCATTTTGCATCATCTCACCGCAGCTCGTTGCTTTCACGATTGACTTGCTCTACTCACACAACAATACTCAAACGCCGAACTCGCCATATACTCACACTCTCCCCCTTCAGCAGGCGCGGAATGCCCTCCTCCTGAACGCGCGTCGGGACAAAGAACGCCGACCCACGAAGCGACCATTGCAGCGGCTCCGCCAGCTGGCGGAAGGCGCCTCGAACCGCCACCATGTGACTCTCCCCCTCCCCCTGCCGCTGCTCCCTCTCCCCCGCCCCCTGCTCCCCCTCCCCCTGCCGCTGCTGTTTTCCCGGCAGCTGCTGCATCAGCTGCTGCTGCTGCTGCTGTTGCCGCTCCGTCTTCCCCTGCCGCTGCTGCACCTCCAGCCGCTGCTGCCCTTCCTGTCGCTGCTGCTGCCGCTGCTCCTGGCGGTGGTGCTGCCCTTTGCCGCCACTCACGGCGCCAGCTGCGGCGCCATTCACGGATGAAAAAGATCGGTTTGATCCAACAGGTAGGGAAGCAACACCTCTAGTAAGGAAGGGTACAATGTGAGGGGACCCACTAACGAGGTTTAACGAATGACAAGCAATCGAAGGCAGTGCGACGAGAGGACTCGAAGAATTAAGATTAGGGTTTGCTGTTCCGTGGGAGATTGACGGGGTGGATCCGACAGCGGAGAACAACACAGAGGCGATCGGACGAAGGAGTTGGATTTGATGAGCGGGATGGGAACCAATAAGTGGATCAAGTTCGCGACAGGTATGCAATACTGTTGCTACGATCGCGTTCGGCGACATCCGGGTAACCAGTCGAGAGAAAATCCAGGTCACGGCTCGCGATCCGAGAGGCCTATGAACTCCTGCCATGGCTGCGGCGCCTAAGAATTAGAATGTAGGTCAAGGCGGGTTCAATAATTGATGGAGACTCTTGGTAGGTTTCCACGCCGCTCAACTGCATTCGTCTTCTGCCGCGCGAGCCGAGTCGCTCGCTAGTCCGACGTCGTCCAGGCGTCAGCGTGACGATTCGTCAGCTAATACCGGAGCGAACGAAGAGAAGATCGTCATTTCGCTCAGGCACGCGAAATCCAGGTCGTCAATTGCTGGGATCTTGATGGGTTATGGGAAGGTCCGGCAGGATCTCCGCCGCATTCGACGGCACAGCAAGCGGCAGGCATACCTATCCTTCGTGGTTACCCCACGTGTGAATTCGTTTTTAGCTGATGCATGTCTGATTCAAACAGTCACACTGACTGCCAAAGAATTCTCAATCGATTGTTGAATTTCGTAACACATCCTCTGTAACACAAATGGCATCACTGTCGCAAATCTCAATCCGCGTTCGTTCCCCGAATTTCGTTCGCGACTCCGTCAAACTTCAGCCGCTGCGGAACCAAGCCCAGCGAAGATCCCACCATCGCCACACTTTTTTCGCTGCCGCCCCCCTCTTCCCGCCATTTTGTCCGCTTCGTCTCCCTTTGCCGAAACTCCCCGTCACAGCGGCGCCGCGCTCGTATGCGCGTTTCACCGTATCGCGCTCGCCAATCCTCTTCGCGAAGACCACCGTCCAAGTGTCTCGCCAACCCTCTTTGCGAAGACCACCGTCCAAGTGTACGTCCTAAGTAACCCTGTTTTTCCCCTCCCCTCCCAATCACTTCGTCCAGTTAAATTCCACCCCAGCAAGTCCAGTTTCATCATCACAGCCTTTCACTCATTCCACACTTCCTACAGCAGCATATTCGCTCCTCTCAGCATAACTCGACCTTCGCTACAAGAAATTTCCACTTCCATCCTCTTTGTAGCTCCTTCGTTCACATCCAACTTTCATAAATGACTACTTCTCGCGTCCTCGCCGTTCTCGGCCTCATCTGCGTCGCCCTCTGCGTGGCTGGCGCGAGCGCACAAGCGACGCCGCCGCCGAAGCCCACCAAGGCGCAAATCAAGGCTGAACTCAACAACTTGGCGACGAACATCACGAAGCGTTACCCGCAATACGCGAAATACGCCAAGGACATCAACCGTTACATCGGCCTCGCGCTCAACTCCAAATACGACTTCTCAGCCCTCGCAGACGCCACCATCCTCCTCCCCAGCGACCCAGAAGCCCAAGCCCTCGCTAAGAAGCTCCCCGCTAAGAGCAGCAACCTCCCCACAATCTACAATATTACCGCTTACCACATTATTCGCAGGAAACTCACCGTTCCTCCGCTGAAATCGCTCAAGAAGTCGCAGCCGCTGGCTACACAACTGAAGCAAGCGATCTACAAGGTTTCGCCTCAAAACGGAAACGCCGTGTCGTTCGCCCGGGGGCCGAACGCGCCTGCAGCTGCGTGGACGACCATCAAGATCGCGCGGCTTTACGCTGGGCCTTACTTCATCGCGCATGGCGTGGATAAGATTCTCATCCCCGCTGGCACGACCATGCCCAAGTAAACATCAGTGAAGTGTGGAGCCGGAAATTCGAGGCAGATTGAGGTGTCGATACGCTACAGTGCAACATGGCCATGCGATGGCTATCTTAGGGCTGAAAGAGCAGTTCATTAGTTGACGCTAGGTATGTTTCTCTTCAGTTGACGGTCAGTAGCTTTGTGTTCAACCTCTGAACAGACGCGACTGACAGTCAACTGGATGAGATAAGTAGTTTTCTGTTAAAGGACTGAACGTAGAAGGCAGACTGAATGTTATTCTGGTAATTAGTTTTTAGGATTCTTTCTCCTGTCTAGAAGCTGTTGGATATGGCAGACTTGTTGTCATGACCTTCCTTTCAACTTATCCTCCTCTGTAGAATTGAAAGTAATGGGTGTAGATAATATGTAGAGAATATTGTTTCTTGGTTACTAGATAACAAATAAGAAAATATGGATACTCGTATATTGGGTGAAAATGTTTTCATATTGTTATGAAGAGACCAAGAAATTTATTTAAAAAACCTGAATGATGAAGGGGACGTGCTGTTTCAGTCATTCATCATAACGCTAGCGAACAGCGAGAACGTGATTGCTGCTGTGGCAAGGATAGCGATCGTACACGTGTCGCTGACATCAGATCCGCTCCCCACAGCCTCACAGTTATCATTCTTTCCACTTCGCGTTTCCGCGTGTCCAAAAACTCTACATCTGACGGTTCTTTTTCCTTCGCTCTAGATTCGACCTCCGTCATCCGTAGATATCCTCCCTCCACTCCTTGCCTCGATTCCTCCACAAAGCTGATTTGCCTGGAAAGCTCACCAGTGACTTCCACTCACCCTTGGGATAACCGACGACAGCCTCGATTATGTCACCTCAACCATATAGAGATCCGAACTGAACTGAATCACCCCCTTCTTCCCCCCCCCCCCCTCGTTATTGCGTCCGTTGTCCAGATCCTCAACCCATTTTCCAATTCCGTGATCAGTTTTTTGCCAAGGCAGGGATGACTGATCATTCCGTGCTCGTGGCTTTCATCTGAATCCAGGAAATCCACTGGTCTTCTGAGAGGTAGTCTTCACTGGGCGAGCATTCACAACAGAAATGTTTTCACGGATGCTGGTAGCCCGTGCTTAGCTAGCCTTTCGGAATCCACGAGCTAAGAAACCTTGCTCGGGGTAAACTTGTTTCCAAGCACCGGTGTCGCTAGGATAAGCGATTCAGTGGTAAAAGCCATCATAGGCCGCCATAAGCCCGCGATTGCCTCCAAAGCGCTCGTAGTGCCTGGTTAGGGTCCCTAGCCCCAAGTGACCACTAAATCGACTTAAGTTCGGGTATACTCCCAAGGCTCTCAAGCTTAGCTTCTCCAATGGCGTTTGCCGCCACGGCTTGTGTTCCGGCGTCCGTTGCCTGGACTGGTCGAGCCGGTCAGAATGAATCATCAGACCACTCGGTCAGTTCTCCCAGCAGAAAATCCGGTGCTGCGACGAGCAGCGCAGGAAGCACGTCCATCTCTTCCACCGCACCCAACTCATCCAGCTCCCATCGCAACCGCAATCCCTGCGGAGCACAAGCGGTTTTATCGGCAAGTCGACCGAACCTTCATGGGATCAACAGCGTAAAATCCCGATGCACATCGGGGCCGCGATCGCTTGCAGTTAGACCGAGCAGCTGTCACAGCTCGACCAACGGCCATGGGTCGTTGAGTAGCGGATCGTCGACTTTCTCCGGCGAAGGTCTCGACGTCGTCTGGATGCCGTTGACGGCCGTGCGAAACCGTCGCCTGCGATCAGCAGGTGCGTGTGCGATAGACTTTGTATAGCGTTTGCACGCTGCAGGTTCTATGTTTTAATTCCGTTCACATGGTTCCTTGGGAATGGCGAGAAATTGCATCACGGAGTCTCAAACCACCAGGGCTGACCATTTTGTCCGCCAGCTGGAATCGACCGCTGGCTGGCGTTTACGGTGATCCGCCACGGGAGACTTAGCGCTTGTGCTAAGTCCCGGCGCTTACGGTGCTTCCGGCTGTCGTGATATAATATCTGGAAAATACTGAATTGCGGCAAAGACTACTGAAAATCCAGCTAGTAGAGAGTAAGACTGATTGAAGAAGCCGCCAGGTTGTTCCTGATGGCTAGTTGCAAGTTGCGTCGGTACGATGCCGCATCTGCTGGTACGTTAAATGCGCTGGTACGTTCGGGTGATACATAACAGGTGCTGGTATGCTACATCTGCGGGTTTCGGGCGAGATAGATCCGGTGGAAAGCAGCTCGGCTGCATCTGGAGCTGTTGGGGGACAGTCCGAGACGGATTCCGAGCACTAACTGGCTATACATACTGTCTTGATACAATAGTTGCTGATATTCAAGCAGGCGTTTACCAGCAAAAGAAAGGGCAAATGTCAGTGACGGGAGGGCCTTGCTATGTGCGATTCGCGTAGCTTCCCCGCGTATCTCGGTCTGACGAATAAACCCTCCATAGTTCAATCAAGGTGCCAATCTATTGGTCAATCGTGCTTACCTTCTTCCCGTCCTTCCCTCTTCTCCATAAATCTCATTTCCATTTCTTCCCCATCTTCATCGTTCCATATTCCGACCTGCAAGAAGCATATCCCCTTTTTCCGCCCTTCCCCTCCTCATCCCCACACCCCACATCCCCCTTCTCCCGTATCCCCCTCTTCTGCTTCCGCGGCTTTCTTTTCCGCATGTCCTTCCGCGCTGCCCCCCGCCAGCCTCCCGCGTGGCGCAGGCTGCAGCAGTAGCGGAGGCGGAAGCAAAGGCGGGAGAAAGTGCGGAGGGTGAGGGAAAAGAGAAGCAGCAGCGGCGGGTGGTGGTGACGGGCATGGGCATCGTGTCGTGCCTGAGCATGAACGCGCACGAGTTTTACCAGAAGCTTCTGGACGGCACCAGTGGCATCTCCGCTATAGAGGGATTCGATGCCTCTGAGTTCCCCACAGTAAGAGCTGGTTTGATTGGTATAGATAACGATTTGGTCGACAGCTTGAGATGGAACAGACGCTACAGGAAGAACCAGAAGAACCAAGATCAAAGGAAACCGATGGAAACTGTTTATACTCACATAGGAGAGAGCCTTTCACTACTTCCCCTTCCCCTCACATCCATCCAGCACAAGATGGCTTGCAAGCCCTCCTTTCCCCCCTCCTCTTTCCTCCCTTCCCATCCCTCCTGCCAGTGCATCGCAGGCGAGATCAAGGAGTTCAAGGACAAGAGGTACATGCACCCCAAGATGACTTGTTCTAATTTTATCTCCTCCCCAACCCTAGCCTTTCCCCCTTTTGCTTCCCCTCTCCCAGCGCATCGCGGGCGAGATACAAGGAGTTCAAGGACAAGGGCTACGTGCACCCCGAGATGGCTTGCACTGGTTCCTTTCACATCCCACCTCCCTTTTTTCCCCATACATCCACCCCAACTTCCCCCCGCCTGCACCCCCCTCCATTGCAGCGCATTGCAGGCGAGATACAAGGAGTTCAAGGACAAGGGCTACGTGCACCCCAAGATGGCGCGGCGCATGGACAAGTACATGCGCTACCTGCTCACGGCGGGCCACTTGTGCATGACATGGCTTGTCTCCCTCCCCTCCCCTCCACCCCCACAACCCCCTCCCACCCATTTATCCAACCGTCTTCCCTCCCAGCGCATTGCGGGCGAGATCAAGGAGTTCAAGGACAAGGGCTACGTGCACCCCAAGATGGCTGGCAAATGCTTCTCTCCCCCCTCATTTCCCCCTTTCGACCATCCAGCGCATCGCGGGCGAGATCAAGGTGTTCAAGGACAAGGGCTACGTGCACCCCAAGATGGCGCGGCGCATGGACAAGTACATGCGCTACCTGCTCACGGCGGGCAAGCGGGCTTTAAGGGACGCGCACATGAGCAAGGAGGTGCAGGAGGGGTTCAACAAGCAGAAGTGCGGCGTGCTCATTGGCTCGGCTATGGGCGGCATGCAGGTGCGCCGGGCGGCAGTCTGTCAGAGATGTGAAAGTCAAGGTGGGCGGAAGGCTGACAATGGTGGGGGGGGGGGGGGGGGGGGCAGGCTGTCAGGTGCTCTATGCTGCAGCAGGATATGTCATGAGTCATGACTAGTACATGCGCTACCTGTCGAAGTTGAACAGGTGGGCTGCGGAGGCCTTATTTCCATCAACTCTTGCTGTTTAGGACAGAGAAACAAACCCCATGCAATAATAGTGGAAAGGAACCTGGTGTTGCGCTAGCTTAGATCGTTTCTTAGAGAGCCAGTGTGGATCAACTCTTCACTTATGGAATCAGAACATTGTGTAAACTAGTTTCGGCTTTGATAAGCCTTCATCAGTAAAAGCCTGAGACCTGCTCACAGTGGGCCCTGCCCCCCACGCACGCTTCGCTACTTCCTTCCCTCCAATTGCCCTCTCCTTCCCTCTTCCCCCCTCCCCACACTTCTTCAACGACGAGGTGGAGGCAATAAAGGTGTCGTACCGCCGCACACGTCTATGTATTCATGGAGCTCAATTCAATTCCCTTGTCCCTCCGCTGTCTTGCCCTCACCCCTCACCCCCCTCCCCTACTCCGCCCCTTTCATCAGGTGTTCAACGATGCGGTGGAGGCGCTCAAGGTGTCGTACCGCCGCATGAACCTGTTCTCGAGTCCTCTTCCCCTCCCTCTATACTTCTGCCCCTCTCGCCACTCCCTACCCTCCAACGGTCCCCTCTCCCCACCCCCCCCCCTTCTCTCCTCAGGTGTTCAACGACGCGGTGGAGGCGCTCAAGGTGTCGTATCGCCGCATGAACCCGTTCTGCATACCCTTCGTCACCACCAACATGGGCTCTGCCATGCTCGCCATGGACCTGGTGTGTGCTACAGTGGTGGAATGGAACGGAGTCATCATGGTATGTGCGTTGATGTCACGGAGCTGGTAAGCTGTGCTGGTATGAGGATGACAGGCTCAACTCTTTGTCACTACCAACATGGGCTCTGCCATGCTCGCCCAGGACCTGGTACATGCTCACATGGGTGGAGGCTAGAGCCATCATGGTATGTGCGGCTTACAATGGTATGGCCCTGGTGTGTGTGATGATGCGAGGGAGCGGGTAAGCGTGCTGGGGTGGGGGGATGACAGGCACGCGCCAGGGACTCGTGCCCCCCTTCTGCATACCCTTCGTCACTACCAACATGGGCTCCACCATGCTCGCCATGGACCTGCTATGCACTTCTTACAGTGGTATGGTCCTGGTATGTGCAGATTGCCATGCTCGCCATGGACCTGCTATGCACTTCTTACAGTGGTATGGTCCTGGTATGTGCAGATTGCCATGCCTCGCCATGGACCTGCTATGCACTTCTTACAGTGGTATGGGTCCTGGTATGTGCAGATTGCCATGCCTCGCCATGGACCTGATTTGTACAGACGTGCTATGGATCTCATACATGCCATATTATTAAGCAAGGGCACAAACTCGCTCTGCATACCCTTCGTCAACACAAATATTGGCCCTGGCGTGTGCCATACTCGCCATGCTCACAGTAGTATGGCTATGGCCCTGATGTGTGCCACCACGATGTGCTGCTGGGACTGATTGACAGGCACAAAGGCTAAGAACTCATCAGCACCGTGCTTCCTTCCTCATGTGCACACCCTTCGTCACCAATGCTCCACATGGGCCTTGTATGCTGCCATGCGACTCATCTGAGTTGACTTTTGAGTCCTTCTCAATCTACCCTTTACTCCGAATACATCATCCCGTTTCCCCTCCTCCGTCAGGGCTGGATGGGTCCCAACTACAGCATCTCCACTGCCTGCGCCACTGCTAACTACTGCATTCTCTCCTTACGTCATAGCTTCTCCAATCCAAACTTCCGTCTCTATTCGTCCCTTTCTTCCCCATTCCCGTTCCTCCATCAGGGCTGGATGGGTCCCAACTACAGCATCTCCACTGCCTGCGCCACTGCCAACTACTGCATTCTCGCTGCTGCCCAGCACATTCAGAGAGGCGATGCGGTGAGTTGAACAGGCAAACTGAGTATCGATTTGCTTGATTCTAAACGAGTTTAAGATCGTGTATGGCGCGGAGCTTTGAGAGACGTAACGCTTCATGACTGCCGTTGCTGCTTCTAGCTTTTCAGTGGGCGTTTCTATTACAGGCAGTTCAAAAGTTTTCTCTAAGAGATGATGTAGTTCGACTGTGTCTCTCGGCCTCTGCAGTGCTGTTTGCATGCATCTTCATCTGCGAACCTTTCTTTGGTTGCTGTTCTGTTCTGTAAACGTGTCTTCACGATAACGAACTGGAGTTTCTTGCACTCCTCCTCCTTGACTCTCATCTGCTCTCGTCCCTGAACTACAGGACGTGATGCTGTCAGGAGGGTCGGATGCTCCCGTCTTGCCTCTCGGTAATGCCCTTTCCTTTCCAAGTTTCCACGCGTCTCTTCTTAACCCTCTCCTCTTCTCGCCCTCCACCTCACCTCTCTTTGTTTTTTGCCCCCGTCTTGCCCCTTGGTAAGGCCCAAACCTTTTCATGAATCCATTCTCCATCCCCTCCCCTTCCGCCATCCTCCCCCTTCCATCCTCCCCCTCCTTCGTCCATCGTACATCCCCCTCAGCAAGCATTTCAAGCTGCTCGTTTCCATCTCTTTCTCTCGCTTCCTCATCTCCACCCTCCCTGTCTTCCTGCTGTCCTCTCTTCCCTCCTCTCTCCTTTTCCCCCGCTCCGTTTCCTCCTCTCACCCCTTTTCCAGGACTGGGTGGATTCGTGGCCTGCAAGGCACTCTCTAAACGCAACGACGAGCCTGAGAGGGCCTCCCGCCCCTGGGACAAGGTCAGTGTTTTTTAAACAGATTCAATGTTCGTGAGTTTTGAGACGCCTCAATAACGAGCTGGAGAGGGCCTCCCGGCCCTGAGGCAAGGTCAATCAGTGATTTCTTATCAAATCAATGCACTCGACAAGATCGGTCAGTCAGTGCATTCCTTGGCAAGCCACGTGTAAAAAGGCGTCTGAAAAATACCGTTTTCACACGTGGAGAGGCAAGGTCAATCAGTGATTTCTTATCAAATGATCAAATCAATGCACTGATAAGATTGGTCAGTCAGTGCATTCCTTGGCAAGCATACCCCCCCAACCACTCTCTCCCCCCCTCTTCCCCTCTCTCCCCCACCCTGACACTAGTTCACTGCAGCATGCAAACACTCTCCCGCCCCTGGGACAAGGGGATTCAGTGCATTCCCCCTCTCCCCTCCTCTCCCCTTCTCGAGCAGTCCTCCTTCCTCCTCCTTCAGTGCATTCCCCTCCTCTCCCCTTCTCTCTCCTTCTCTCCCTCTTTCTCTCACAGAATCGTGATGGCTTTGTGATGGGCGAGGGAGCGGGTGTGTTGGTGCTGGAGGAGCTGGAGCACGCCAAGGTGTGTGTGTGTGTGTGGTGTGTGTGTGTGTGGTGTGTGTGTGTGTGTGTGTGTGTGTGTGTGCGCGCGCGCTGCACTCTGTGCTGTGCTGTGCTGTGTTGTTTGTGGGTTTCACACCATGGTGTGTAATGGGCGAAGGAGCGGGTGTGTTGGTGCTGGAGGAGCTGGAGCACGCCAAGGTGTGTGTGTGTGTGGTGTGTGTGTGTGTGGTGTGTGTGTGTGTGTGGTGTGTATGTGTGTGTGTGTGTGTGTGTGCGCGCGCGCGCTGCACTCTGTGCTGTGCTGTGCTGTGTTGTTTGTGGGTTTCACACCATGGTGTGTAATGGGCGAGGGAGCGGGTGTGTTGGTGCTGGAGGAGCTGGAGCACGCCAAGGTGTGTGTGTGTGTGGTGTGTGTGTGTGTGTGGTGTGTGTGTGTGTGGTGTGTATGTGTGTGTGTGTGTGTGCGCGCGCGCGCTGCACTCTGTGCTGTGCTGTGTTGTTTGTGGGTTTCACACCATGGTGTGTAATGGGCGAGGGAGCGGGTGTGTTGGTGCTGGAGGAGCTCGAGCACGCCAAGGTGTGTGTGTGTGTGTGTGTGCGCGCGCGTGCGCGTGCACGGGTGCATGGGTGTGTGGCTGCGCGGGTATGTGGGTGTGTAGGTGTGCAGTTGTGTGCGTGTGTGGGTGTGTTTGTGGGTGTGAAGTTGTGTGCGTGTGAAGTTGTGTGCGTGTGCAGTTGTGTGCGTGTGAAGTTGTGTGCGTGTGCAGTTGTGTGCGTGTGCGGGTGTGCTGGTGTGTGGGTGTGCGGGTGTGTATGCTGCAACCATTTTGCTGAAGTCACGTGCTTCATCCTTGTTTCTCTTTCTCTGTCAGCCAACCCAGTGGTATTGTACCACTTTACCCATCTGCATCTCTCTCCTTCCCCGTCTGGCCTCTCCCGCTGCCTCTTCACCCTTCTTCACCCCTCTGCACCTCGTCCCTTCCAAGGCCCGAGGCGCCACCATCTACGCCGAGTTTCTGGGCGGCAGTGTGTCATGCGATGCACACCATATGACCGACCCGCACCCTCAAGGTGAGACTGTCAAAACACGATGTTTGTCAAGCCGCCTTGCAATGCGATAGAGAGCGCATCTGGGTTTTAGAGACATGTTACCTCTCACTATCGAGAAGGTTTTTGAGGCGCCTCAAAAACCACCTCAATGCACGCGGATTTCATTTTGAGGCGCCTCAAAAACCACGCCCTTGCAATGTGATAGAGAGCACATCTGGGTTTTAAAGACGTGTTACCTCTCACTATCGAGCAGGCTTTGGAATACTGTTCCAATGCTTGCTCCGCCGGAACTCCTACCTCCTCTTCCCTTCTCCCTCCCTACACCTGCAAATCTCCTTCCCCGCACCCTTTATCCCAGGCAAGGGCGTGCTGATGTGCATTGAGCAGGCGCTGGCATCATCCGTATGTGAACTCCAAGAATGCCCATGCCACTCCCCCGTTTCCCTCCCTTCCCTGCTTCCCATCCCCATCCCCCCCACCGCCCTCTCTCCCAGGCAAGGGCGTGCTGATGTGCATTGAGCAGGCGCTGGCGTCATCGGGAGTGCCTCGCGAATACGTGAACTACGTGAACGCCCACGCCACCAGCACTCTGGCCGGCGATGTGCAAGAGTACAAGGCGCTCGTGGCTGCGTTTGGAAACAACCCCGTGGTGAGTTTGAAGCTTGGACGGTAACCTCGTAATTTTCTTGAGGTGTCTCAAGAGCACTCTGGCCGGCGATGTGCAAGAGTACAAGGCGCTCGTGGCTGCGTTTGGAAACAACCCCGTGGTGAGTATGAACATTATCTGATTGCCAGTAGGCCTCTTCAGGTATCTCAGAAGCACTCTGGCAGGGGGCATGCAAGAGTACAAGGTACTCGTGGCTGCTTTCGGCAATAACCCTGTGGTCAGAAGGGAGGAATTTATCGCTTCCTCTGTCTTTATGGCTGTCTTGGGCTGGCTGTCTTAAGTTTGACCTGAAGCTGGTGACGTACAAGAGTACAAAGCACTGGTGGCTGCTGTCGGCAACAACCCTGTGGCTGTGGTGCGTTGAACTTCATCTCAGTCTCTGACGCCGTCTTGAGATGCCTCACCCCACCAGCGATAGCTTTCTTTGAATGCTTCGCTCTGAAGTGGAAGGTGCTGGCGGACATGACCAAGACTGTACATGTGGCCGCAAACCCATGAAATAAGATTGGTCTAGTCCATGATCGGCCATCTGCTGGGCAACCTATTAGCCTGGCCCAAAAATCGGCCTCAATTAAACCCCTGATTCCCGTGCTTCCTGCCCCGTTTCTTCCCTTTCCCACACACCGCAGCTGAAGATGAATGCCACCAAGTCCATGATCGGTCATCTGCTGGGCGCGGCAGTGGGTCACCCTCACTTTCGTTTCCTAACTCTGCTCTTTCCACCCCTTTCTCCCTTTCCCACACACCGCAGCTGAAGATGAATGCCACCAAGTCCATGATCGGCCATCTGCTGGGCGCGGCAGGAGGAGTGGAGGCCATTGCGACTGTTGGGGTGAGTTTTATGTGTTTCATGTCTTGTGAACTGGCTCAAAGGTTTCTAGTGTACTCTTCTGACGCCTCAGGAGGAGGAGTGGAGGAGGGGAGTGATACTGTCGGAATGCGATTAGCGAGCCATTGCTGGGTGCTTCCAAGCCAGTGCTTTTGTGATGCCTTCTATTCCTGCTGCTTCATGCACACCTCTCTCCCAACCCTCTTCGTTCCTCTCTCTCTCCCTTTGTGCATTGCCCCACATTTCCTCCATATTATACTGCCCTCCCTATTATCTGCCATCCATTGGGCCCCACATAACCCCCCACCCACTGCCCCCCATATTGCCCACCATTGCCCCCAGTTGTACCCAATACCTGTCCATTGGCCGTCCACACACAGGCTACCTCCACCCCAGTCTCTGGCACTGGATTCCAGCGTTTCATGCACCTCCCGCCCAATGCATTGAGGTGACTTTTGAGTCGACTCAAAAGTCACACACAGGCTACCTCCACCCCGGCCTCTGGCACTGGATTCCGGCGTTTCATGCACCTCTCGCCCAATGCATTGCCCCATATGTCCCCCTTCCCCTTCCACCACCCCCATTGCCGCCCATTGCCACCCATTGCCCCCTGTACAGGCCATCCACACAGGCTACCTCCACCCCAACCTCAACCTGGAAAACCTTGAGGACGGCCTGGTAAGGGGTAGCTGCGGGCATGGGAGCAGTGCAGGTACGTTGTGAGCGGGGATTGGTAAGGGGTACCCTAGTTGGCCTCATTACCCTCCCTACAGGCCATCCACACAGGCTATGTCCACCCCAACCTCAACCTGGAAAACCTTGAGGACGGCCTGGTAAGGGGTAGCTGCGGGCATGGGAGCAGAACAGATAGGATGTGAGCAGGGACTGGTAAGGGGACACCCCAATTGGCCTCATTGCCTCATCCAGGCCATCCATGTAGGCTACTTTCACCACTTTTCTCTCGATGTGTGCACTCGTAAGCCTGTACTCTTGTTCCCACCGTTTCCTTGCTTTATTCTTCTAATATCCAAAGTTTCATCACTAGCCAAGCCCCAGTGGAAAATCAGTTGCCCTGATTTGAGTTTGTTTCTAGCATACCTCGATCTCCTCCTTCATCCCTTATGATATCCAACCAGGACGAGCGCTACTTTGTGCGTGACACAAAGGAACGCTTGGATGTGAATGTGGGGCTCTCCAACTCGTTTGGTTTTGGCGGCCACAATTCGTCCATCCTCTTTGCGCCATACCACCCAGAAGGAATCCATGCTCTAGTGGCAGAACGCAATGCTCAAGTTTGAGCTCGCCTGCTGCAAAATGGCAGCTTCGGCATCCAATCTTTCCGTTGTATTGCTTTGAACATTCCGTCACATGCATGTCCCCTCACTTAGCTGTCCCCTTCACGTCGCCAAACATTTTTTGGGAGGTCTTCCCAAAAAAAAAATGCTCAGTACTTGAAGTATTGCTCTCCTAATAGAGGAGGTCAGGTCCTTGTTTAGCTCATTTGTAGTTCAACAGTCACCTCCCAATTCATGAACGATTGTTACAGTATGAATGACATTGTCGACGTGTATATTTACGTGAGTTTTGTCGGTGGGCCTGGGCCAAAGGCGAACCTTCCTTGCACTCGGAGTGTTGTTCGATTTGTCGTCGCATCCGACCAATCGCAAGCGAACTCGACGGCGAGGACCTCAGTCTGACCGTCGATTTACAGGCGACAACCATTCGTTTTGAAAAGTCCTCCAGACTTTCCCAGGCGCATTGGCTTGGGTTGGTTGGTTTTCGCTGGTCAACCGCGCCCCGTGCAAGTTCCGCGCGCGCAGCGCGCGCGGATGCCGAGTTGCAGCAGATCCAGAAAGTGGGCGCAACAGCGGAACCGCGCGGATTCACGCATTCCCGCCATCCCCATCACCACCAACCTCGATATTACCGCACGGGAAAACGTAAACCAACCTCGGGAAATGATCGTCGTGATATCACCATCACACAACCTCCAGCTTGCTTCTTGTGCCTCTATTACGGTGTCATTGTCGTGAGGATATGTGGCCGAAGGGCGCGTCGTTGTTTGAATTTTCATGGTTTCCTGCTGGCGAGAACGCAAAACTTCTTAGTGCTAGACTGCCATTTCTGATCTCAATTGATCGTTAGATTAAAATGCATTCGGAGGTTGCCATACGTAGCCCATGCTCTTTATGAGCCTAACTCTTAACGAGAATGTGTATCTGGGCGCGAGCTAGCATACGGCTCGCGGAACAGTAGCGAGTTTTGCGTTCAGAGGTACCTAGGGGAAATTCACGATGCAGATCGTCTTTTGATGTGCCTAATAAGTAACGAAGACGAGTCGCGATGCAGATGGTTTTATAAGGCAGCCTCGAAACGTACCTGGGAACGTCGCGAATCGCGATGCAGATTGTGAACGGATCGTTGCCGCGCGTGAAGCGGCGGAGCAAGCCCGCGAGCCCCACGGAGCGATTATGGACCTTGATGGTCATCTGCGGAACCATGCTTTTCTTCGTCTTCCTCCTCATCCTCTCAGGTAAGTTTAGTCGACTTACATGCCATGGAGCTGTTATGGAGCATGATGGTCGTTCATTTTGGGATCACTTTTAAGAATTCTCTCGTATAAAAATAATAGCATTTATTAGAATGCGCAAAATGTTTCCTATGAAGCGGTTATGAACCATAATGATCATCTCCGGGACCATTCTCTTCTTTGTCTTCCTCCTCCTCCTCCTCTCAGGTGCTTCTCCCTTCCTCCTCCTCCTCATGCTCCTCCTCCTCCTCCTCCTCCTCCTCCTCCTCCTCCTCCTCCTCCTCCTCCTCCTCCTCCTCCTCCTCCTCCTCCTCCTCCTCCTCCTCCTCCTCCTCCTCCTCCTCCTTATGATCCTCATGCTCCTTCTCTCCTCATCCACTCAGGTGCTTCTCTCTTTCTCCTCCCCCTCCTCCTCCTCCCTTCCTCCTCCTCGTACTCGCTGCAAGCATGTTGCTGTGAGGGCATCAGGCGTCTCACGTGCCGTCCTTTTGCCTGCTGAGTTGACGAAGTTGCAACTCGGGGCGTTGCTGACTTTCACTCAGAGTCAGAATCTACATCTCCTTTCCCGTCCCTAAATCCCCACTCAGAACCCCTCCCCCACTCCTCCCTCTTCCCTTCCTTCCCTTTCCCTTCCCTCACTTCGCTCTCTCCCCCATTCCCCCCTCCCTTCTGTCCCTTCGCACCTCCCCCCTCCCCTTCACCTCCCCCTTTCACCAGGCACGTCGCCCAAGAGCGAACAGACAGCACCAGTGCTGGAGGTGGGGACAGCATCGGACAGTGTGCGGCAGCGCATAGCCGATTCAGAAACCCAGAGCACCTACTTGGGTGTGAATTCGACTCAAAATCTGCATGAACCCTCCTTCCCGCCAACCCCACTGCGGCCCACCTTCCCTACCCCCGTACTTCCCCTTCCCCCTCCCTCTCCGATTCCCCCTCCCCCGTCACCAGGCACGTCGCCTAAGAGCGAGCAGACGGCACCAGTGCTGGAGGTGGGGACAGCACCAGACAGTGTGCGGCAGCACATAGCCGATTCAGACACTCAGAGCAGCAGCAGTGGAGGCCATAAAGGAAAGGAGGACTCGACTGATTCCGGCGGGAAACTCCAGATATTCTCAGGTTGGTTTGATCCTTTGTTTGTTTGTTTGTTTGATTTTCTCAAAGCTATAACACATTATTTCGAGACGAGCACTTCTGCCTTGTTGCTCAATACGGGTTTGTGGGTTGGGAGCAGAGCAGTGAGTGCGTTTTGTTGTTCCTGCCAAAAGGGGCGTTTTGTTGTTTTGTTGCTGTTTTTTTCTCGTTCACTCTCTCATATGCTGCATCCATCCCCTTCTCCATCTCTCACGGACGAGCCCCGTTTTCTAGGCGCCTGAACAATAATAGCAGTTTTAAAACCCTACCCCTTTTTCTCCCATGCAGGTGCCATGGCGGGTATGCTGAGCAGCGACGAGCCCTTCACGCTGTTTGCTCCCTCAGATGACTTCCTATTGGACATCAGCAGCGTCTTTCACAAGTACCCCAGAACAAAGGAAATGGTGAGGGTCGTTCATTTGAGATTCTTCGATTGTGACGTGTGTTGTTGATGTTTCTTATAAACACCCCCCCTTCCCCCCCCGCCCCTACCTCCCCCCACCTGTCTCGCTTCCCCATGCCCTTCACTGTCTGCCCTTTGCCCTTCCTCCCCCTGTTGAGTAGGCTAGTGGGCTATTCCTCCCAGTCGACTTTTGAGGTGCCTCAAAAGTCTTCCCATACCCTTCACTTTCTGCCCTTTGCCCTCCCCATGTTGAGTCGGTTAGTGGGCTACTCCGCCGTGCCTCGCCGCATTCCAGCAGCCAACGTGCCTTTGGGAGCCACCCTCTCGCCCCCCCCTTACCCCGCTCTCTACGGCCCTTCTCTCCCCCTTTTACTTCCCTCCCCCCTCCTCTCCTCTAGATCGACCCCATGATGAGTCGGCTAGTGGGCTACTCCGCCATACCTTGCCGCATTCCAGCAGCGGACGTGTTGCTGCCATCCTCCCCTCTTTCTCTCTCCCCATACCCCCCACTTTCTGCCTTATGCCTTTCCCCTCTCCTCTAGATCGACCCCATGTTGAGTCGGCTAGTGGGCTACTCTGCTGTGCCTCGCCGCATCCCAGCAGCGGACATCCCGCTGGGGGCGTTTGAGCGGTTGGAGTCGATAACAGGGTTTATCATCAACGTGGGGAGGGACCCGCGCACTGGACGGATTTTCGCAAATGGTGTTCCGAGCAAGCAGGTGAGGTTTTTTGGTGTACGGGTCGGGCTGGGTTCTGTGCAGCAGGCGAAGGTGGGTAGCGAGTGAGTGTGAGTGTGTGCAGCGTCCCAGCAGCGGACATCCCGCTGGGGGTGTTTGAGCGGTTGGAGTCGATAACAGGGTTTAGGGACCCGCGCACTGGACGGATTTTCGCAAATGGTGTTCCGAGCAAGCAGGTGAGGTTTTTTGGTGTATGGGTCGGGCTGGGTTCTGTGCAGCAGGCGAAGGTGGGTAGCGAGTGAGTGTGAGTGTGTGCAGCATCCCAGCAGCGGACATCCCGCTGGGGGCGTTTGAGCGGTTGGAGTCGATTACAGGGTTTATCATCAACGTGGGCAGGGACCCGCGCACTGGACGGATCTTTGCCAACGTGGTGCCGAGCAAGCAGCTGCGAAGTGTGGGTGCGTCTGGGAGAAGTATGCGGGGAGGTGCCTCTAGGGGGCGTTTGAGGGGTTGGAATCGATCACGGGGTTTATCATCAACGTGGGCAGGGACCCGCGCGCTGTACGGATGTATGCCAATGGTGTGCCGAGAAAACAGGTGCGCTGTGTGGAGTGCTCAGAATGGTTTTGAGCGGTTGAACTCGGTTTTGGACCTCATGAGCCTTTTATGAGGGTTTTACGTTTCAGCACTCGAAGGTTGAATGCTCACTTTGTTGTCGGAATGCTTGGCCAGCATGACGGCGTCCTGAAGCATTATCCCTCCCTCCTCCTGATGATTGAAGTGGTTTGAGACTTTTTGTGACTCTGTCATTATTGAAAAGGCTGAATGCTCACTTTGTTGACAGGATGCTGAAGCATCAGCGCTCCCTCTCTCCCATCCATCTGCCAGGTTGACATCCTAGAAGGCCAGCTGGTGGTGCATCTGATACATAGCATGCTGGGGCCGTGTTTTGAGTCGACTCAAATCACCTCTCCCTCCCTCTCTCCCATCCATCTGCCAGGTGGACATCCTAGAAGGCCAGCTGGTGGTGCATCTGATAGATGGCATGCTGGGGCCGCTCGACTTTGTGGAGTCGGTGAGAAGCATGGACCCTGATGATGTCAGCATGGAGGCAGCTCTTGAGCAGGAGTTTAATTCTGGGGCGTTTGTGCGCGGCAGTGAGAGCAGTGGGGGCGGGGGAGGGGGCGGGGGAGGGGCTGGGGGAGGGGGAGAGGGAGGCGGAGAGGGCGGAGGAGGAGGCAGCGGGAAGGGTGGGGACAAAGGAACTAGGCAGGGAGAGTCTGGGCAGGCTGCGCAGGGAGAGCAGCAGCAGCAGCAGCAGCAGCAGCAGCAGCAGCCGGGAGGGGACGGTCAGGCAGAGAAAGTTTTCTTGCCTGAGGAGCAGACAGATCTGGGTGCTGCTGTTGCTGCCGCTGCTGCTGCTGCTGGCCTTGGTCTTGGTGGTGGGGATGGAGCAGGAGGGGGAGGGGGAGGAGGAGGAGCTGAAGGGGAAGCGGGTCACTCTATAGAGGGACAGGGAGAGAAGCAGGGTGGTGCTGGGAATGCAGCAGCAGGGGAGGGCGGTGGGGAAGCAGTGGTGGCAGCAGCAGGGGCGGATGGCACACAGAGGGAGCAAGGGAAAGGCAAGAGCGACGGCACGGGCAGCAGTGGAAGTAGCAGTGGCAGTGCCGGTAGCAGTAGCAGTAGTGGTAGCAGTGGCAGTACTGGCAGTATTGGGGCTGCAAATGCTGGTATGGATAGCGATGCGCGTAACAGGGACGAATTCGTGCACGAAGGAAACGAGCTTCTAGAGGCAAACGAGGTGGACAGTATTGAGGATGAACCCGGGGACGAGGGGCCTGGGGGAGGGGGGGGCGAGGGAGGCGGGGAGGGGGCGGGCGGAGGCACGGCAGGGGCAGGGCAGGGGGGGAATGGCACAGGGACTAAAGCCCAACCGGCTGGGTTCGGATGGAAGAGATTATATGCTGGTCTGCCAGGGGTGGTGCTATGGCAAAAACAGAATACAACAGGGGCGGAGGGAGGAGGAAGAGCAGGTGGAGGAGGAGGTGGTGGTGGGGAAAATGGGGGGAATGGGGAGGGTGGGGGTGCTGCAGCGGGTGGGTTTCAGTGGTTTGGGTTTGGGAAGGGAGGCGCAGCTTCCAAGAAGGAGCCGGAGGAGGACCCTGTGGATAATCTGCCTGTGTTGAAGCCGGAAGTGATTGCTCAAGAGCAGGTGCGGTGGGGTTGCTGGGCTCTGGGCACAGGTAAGTGTGTGGGGAGCAGGTGCGGTGGGGTTGCTGGGCTCTGGGCACAGGTAAGTGTGTGGGGAGCAGGTGCGGTGGGGTTGCTGGGCTCTGGGCACAGGTAAGTGTGTCGGGAGCAGGTGCGGTGGGGTTACGTCTGGGTCAGGGCTGGTTTGAGTGGACATCAAACACACTCAGAGGACCCTGTGGATAATCTGCCTGTATTGAAGCCAGAAGTGATTGCTCAAGAACAGGTGCGGTGGGGTTTCTGGGTTCTAGGCACAGGTAAGTGTGTGTGTGGGGAGCAGGTGCGGTGGGGTTTCTAGGTTCCATGCACCTGCAAGCGTGTGGGTAACAGGTTTGGTGGGGCTTCTGGGATTCTACGCACCTGCGAGTGTGTGGGTAACAGGTTTGGTGGGGTTTCTGGGTTCTAAGCACATGCATGCAAGTGTGTGGGAGCAGGTGTGGTGGGGTTTCTGGGTTTCTACGCACCTGCAAGTGTGTTGGTAGCAGGAGTGTTGGGGTTTCGTCTGGGTACTGGTAACTGGCGGGGTTGGTTCAAGCTGACACTAAACACAATTGGATAATTACAGCGGGAAGACGCTGTGGATAATCTTTGTGTACTTAATCCACGTGTAAAAGGTGAATTTCTGAGACGTCTAAAAAAATCACTTTTTACACGTGTAATCACAATGGGAAGACTCTGTGGATAAGATCATCTTTGTGTACTTAAGATTGGTCGCTGACTTTGATAATCTTCCTGTGAACCCACCCCTGCTCTCATGCTGTGACAACCTCCCTCCCACGTGTCATGTCAGGTGCGCGAGGAGTTGACTTGTGTTGACTTCAGGGGTGTTTTGTGGGTCAAACTTAAAATCGGTCTCTGAGTTGACTCAGAACTTACCTCCGTCCGTGGTTGTGCTGTGATTCTCTCCCTCCCATTATCAGGTGACTTTTGAGGCGCCTCATAAATCTCCCTCCCATCCCATCATCAGGTGCGCAAGGAGGAGAAGGTCAAAAGCCAGGAGTAAAAGTTGACTACAGGAATGATTATCTTGTCGACTCAGGAATGCTCTCTGCTGAGTTGACTCGGAAATTACCATCAAGTGGTTGATGTGACCTCCCACCCATCAGGTGCGCGAGGAGGAGAAGGCGAAGCCAGGAGTGGAGGTGGACTTCAGGGGAGCACACAAGGGAGCATGTGAGTGGTGGGAGATAGACACGAGGAGGTGTGGAGTGGTGCTGATTGGTGCTGCTGCGTGGTGCTGGGTTGTGAAGGGGAGCACACAAGGGAGCATGTGAGTGGTGGGAGATAGACACAAGGAGGTGTGGAGTGGTGCTGATTGGTGCTGCTGCGTGGTGCTGGGTTGTGAAGGGGAGCACACTAGGGAGCATGTGAGTGGTGTGAGATAGACACGAGCAGGTGTGGAGTGGTGCTGCTGAGTGTGCTGGGGTGTGGAGGGGCGCACAGAAGGGTGCATGTGAGTGGTGGTGGACACGAGCAGGTGTGGAGTGGTGCTGGGTGGTGCTGGGCTGTGAGAGGGAGCACACAAGGGAGCATATGAGTGCAGCTGAGCAGTGAAGAGGGGTCCTCTTTTCAAGATTGCAACTGTCAGTGTCTGTGGGCTTTGAAAGGGCATCAACTTTCTTGGTTACAGAGAGGTCCCTCCCTCTCCATGAGTGTTACTTTCTCAACTTAAGTCAATTCCAATCCAGGCCTAAGTTTTCCCTCTCACTGTTGCTCCCCCCCACACTCCCTGTTGCTCGTTTTCTCCCTGGATCCCTTCCTCTCCTTTCGAGTCGACTCCAAAGTCACCTCGTTTTCTCCCTGCATCCCTTCCTCTCCTTTCCCTCCCAGCTGTTATCGAGGTTCCTCCTTCCGTGGATCCCACCAAGCTCCCGTGTTTGGGCCAGGGCATTCTGCATCATCTTGTGTCTCACGCTAGTCCCTCCCACCCCACACGTGCCCTGTCCCTTTTTTCTCTACCTCCCAGCTGTTATGGAGGTCCCTCCTTCCGTGAATCCCACCAAGCTCCTGTGTTTGACCCGGGGCATTCTGCGTCATCTTGTACCTCTTTGGAGTTTGGAAGGGAGAGAAAAACTCCCTCTTCCTTTTTCTCTCCCTTCCACGGCTCCACTCTCTCACATCCGTTATCGAGGTGCCTCCACCTGTGCACCCCACCAAGCTGCTGTGTTTGGACTGGGGCAGGCGATAGCTTCTGCCCTCTCTCAAGACAAGGCAACTCACCCCCCTCCTCTCGCACCCTCCCTGCTCCTTCTGCTTTGCCTTTCCCGTCACTTCTCCTTTCCCTCTCAGCTGTAATCGAGGTGCCTCCCCCTGTGGATCCCACCAAGCTACCCTGTTTGGGCCGGGGGTAGGCAGCAGCAACTTGTGTCTCACTCCCTCTTCCGTTTTTTTTTTTTTCCTTTTTTTTTTTTTTTTTTTTTTCGCTTCCACTATCTCTCCCAGCTGTTATCGAGGTGCCTCCCCCTGTGGATCCCACCAAGCTACCCTGTTTGGGCCGGGGGTAGGCAGCAGCAACTTGTGTCTCACTCCCTCTTCCGTTTTTTTTTTTGTTTCCTTTTTTTTTTTTTCCGCTTCCACTATCTCTCTCAGCTGTAATCGAGGTGCCTCCACCTGTGGATCCCACCAAGCTACCCTGTTTGGGCCGGGGCATTCTGCAGGCAGACAGCAAGTGCATCTGTGCTGTGCTCTATGGCGGGGATAACTGTGAGGTGAGTTCTGTGACTGAGGTGGTATCTGTGAGGGAGGTAGAATAACTCGTCCTTGAGTCGACTCAATAGGTGATATCTGCAGGCAGACAGCAAGTGCATCAGCGCTGTGCTCTATGGGGGGGATATCTGTGAGGTGGGTATGTGAGGGAGGTGGTATCTGTGAGGTGGGTATGTGAGGGAGGTGGTATCTGTGAGGTGGGTATGTGAGGGAGGTGGTATCTGTGAGGTGGGTATGTGAGGGAGGTAGGTGGTAATTCTGAGGCCAACAAACAGCATTCTGCGGTGGCCAGACAGCAAGTGCATCTGTGCTGTGCTCTATGGGGGGGATAACTGTGAGGTGGGTGGTAATCTTGAGGTGGGAGGTAGGTAGGTAGGTGTTATCTGTAAGGTAGGGTGACTGGTACTTGAGTCGACAGTATCTATACCCCCACATTGCTAGCTACCTGCTCAGCTCACTCCTCAAGCCCTCGTGCCCTGCTCTGCAGCTTACCTTACCTTCGCTTATCAACGCCCTCATCCTTCCTTCCCAGATTTCCTGTTGTTGTGTGTTAGCCCGGGTAGCCTGGTGACAGGAAACGCACAACACTGACAAGCTCACAGTCAACCCGTTCGTGGGAAGCTACCTGCTCACTGCACAGGCCCTCGTGTCGTGCCCCCAGCCTGCCTTGCCACGCCTTTTGAGGCGCCTCAAAAGTCGTCTCTCTACCTGCCTTTCCTCGCCATCCCTCAGCCTTCCTTCCGTGGCGTCCTGTTCCCATCCCGTGTCTGCTAACAGGAAACGCGCAACACGGACCAAGCTCACAGTCAACCCGTACGTGGGAAGCTACCTGCTCACTGCACAGGCGCTCATCCCCTACAGCCTTTCTTACCTTTCCTTCCCAAACCTCCCATTCGCGTCCATTGCCCTGTAACATGGTAACAGGAGACCCGCAACACGGACAAGCTGACTGTTGACCCCTACGTGGGAAGCTACCTGCTCACAGCACAGGCCCTCATGCCGCCACCGCCGCCAGCAGCAGGAGAGGAGGGAAGCAGCGGAGGGGGAGGAGGGGGATCGGCTACGCGATCCGCTATGCTGCTGGAAGGGCTGTCGATTGAAGAGAGGCGGCAGCTGCGGGCTGTGCTGCCTTTGACAGACATCTATCAGACCACTGTGAGTGACTGATGTTGAGTTGAGTCGACTCACAAAAGGGGGGAACTGGGGGGGGGGGGGGGTCGGCTGCGCGGTCCGCCATACTGCTGGAAGGGCTGTCGATTGAAGAGAGGCAAGGCGGCAGCTGCGGGCTGTGCTGCCTTTGACCGACGTATACCAGACCACTGTGAGTTCATTCTGTGGGAGGGTATTGGACCTTTACCAGACCTTCAGAGTTGGAGCATGATCTGTCTTTCTATCGCGCTGCTTCTGAGAGTCTCCCCTGCCTGTCCTCTATACAAATTCAGGGTTACACCTAAACCAGTCTCTCTGACTTAAACCTCTCTCTTGTTGTGCTTGTGTTCCTTTTCTTCCAGGTGTGCCTTTTCTTTTTCTCTCTGACACTACACGCCGCTGTTGAGTGTCTTTCCTGCTTGTCCATCTGTTTTCCCAAATGTATTGTTTTCTCTTCCCGTTTGTTTTTCTGCTTTGATTGTTTTCTCTTCCCGTTTGTTTTTCTGCTTTGATAACATGTTCACCTGTTACAGGTATGGGAGACGTGTGCTGTGGTGGGTAATTCGGGTGCGCTTCTGCTGAGGGAGGATGGGGAGGAGATTGACAAGCATGACATGGTTTTGCGCTTTAACACAGCACCCACTAAGGGGTACGAGAAGCAGGTGGGTGCAATCGATTCCAGGGAGATTGACAAGCATGACATGCATGCTTTTGCGCTTTAACACAGCACCCAGTAAGGGGTACGAGAAATAGGAGGGTGCAATGCAATTGATTCAAGGGACTCTAGATATTTAGATATCTAGAGAAACGATGAGGACATTCACAAGCATGACAAGACGTTTCTGTGCCTTATAACGCAGCACCCACCCACTATTCACACCCCCCTCAGGTGGGGAGGAAGGCTACGCTTCTCCTAAGCGTGCCAGACAAGGAGGGTTCAGAGAGGCTTAAGAGACAGTAGTATGTCACCTGTACCTGCAACTGCAATCCAGTTTACCCACCCCCGCCGCTCCCCCCCCCCCCCCCCCCCACTCCCGCCAACCCCTCTTCTCCCCCTTCCTTCATCTAACCCTCCCTCCTCCTTCAGGTGGGGAGGGGAGGAAGACCACGATTCGCCTGAGCATACCAGACAAGGCGGGTTTCAGGGAGGGCAACGAGACTGTGGTATACCACCTGTACCTGAATCCCCTTATCCTTTTCCCCACCCCCCATTCATCTACCCTGCGTCAGGTGGGGAAGAAAACCACGCTCCGTCTCAGCATACCTGACAAGGCGGGTTTCAGGGAGGGCAACGAAACTGTGGTATACCACCTGTACCTGAGGGGTGTGAAGGACGAGTTGCAGCATCTTCTCAACTTCAAGCGGGTCTTCAGGGAGGGGCCTTTATACTTGCTGGACCTGGGATTTGAATCACAGGTGGGTGCGAGTCACTGTGCAGTGCTGAGCGGTGCTGAGCGGTGCTGTGCTGTGCAGTGCTGTGCGGTGCCCTACACTGGGCGGTATACCACCTGTACCTGAGGGGTGTGAAGGACGAGTTGCAGCATCTTCTCAACTTCAAGTGGGTGTTTCGGGAGGGCCCGCTCTACGTGCTGGACCTGGGGTTTGAATCGCAGGTGGGTGTGGAAGTCACTGTGCTGTGTGGTGCTATGCGGTCCTGCGCTATACTGTGTGGTATTCGAGGGGAGTGAAGGATGAGTTGCAGCATCTTCTCTGGTTCAAAGCGGGACTTCCGAGAGGGGCCGCTCTATGTGTTGGACCTGGGGTTTGAATCTCAGGTGGGTGAGGGAGTCACAGGTGTGTGAGTGTGTGAGAATAACATGCACTGCGCGCGACACCGCACGCGTAACGAACCTGAGGGGAGTGAAGGACGAGTTGCAGCATCTACTCAAGTTCAAGAGGGTGTTCCGGGCGGGGCCTCTTAACATGCTGGACCTGGGGTTGCCACGTGTATGAAGATTGGTGTTGAGACGTCTCAAAACCAATCCTCTTAACATGCTGGACCTGGGGTTTGAGTTGCAGGTGGGTGCGAGTCCCAGGTGAGTGTGTGTGTGTGTGAGTGTTGACCTTTTATGTGCTGCCATCACCTCTCCCAAGCAGTCCTGTATTGATATTGTTCATAAGTTACAGGCATGGCAGGTGGTCTTAACTAGCTAGACTAAGTGCATGCCACCAACAAGGTGGCTTGTGTTTTTTGAGAATTCTCAAAAAACACATGCAGCAACCAGGTGGCTGTGCTATGCCATCACCTCTCCCACTCTCCTTCGCAGGTATTCAACACCTTTTGGGGCATTCACACCAGTGGGATACGTGGGGATGCTCCTCCTTATTTATTTTTGTGAGAATTCTGGATGAGTCTCCTCAAACCTCTTTTTTGCTGCTACCGGCTCTCCCTCTCTCTCCCGTCCGCAGGTGTTCAACACCTTTGGCGCCTTCACATCAGTGGGATACGTGGGGACAGTCGTTGTATGTGATTCAGAAGTTTACTTTCTTAAGCGCGTCATATCCTTCCCTGCTGCCATGTTGCCTCCTCTCTCTCCCTTCCACAGGTGTTCAACACCTTTGGCGCCTTCACATCAGTGGGATACGTGGGGACAGTCGTTGTATGTGATTCAGAAGTTTACTTTCTTAAGCGCGTCATATCCTTCCCTGCTGCCATGTTGCCTCCTCCTCTCCCCTCCGCAGGTATTCAACACCTTTGGCGCCTTCACATCAGTGGGATACGTGGGGACAGTCGTTGTATGTGATTCAGAAGTTTACTTTCTTAAGCGCGTCATATCCTTCCCTGCTGCCATGTTGCCTCCTCCTCTCCCCTCCGCAGGTATTCAACACCTTTGGCGCCTTCACATCAGTGGGATACGTGGGGATCCAATTCGCCCTGCAGGTGAGCAGGTCATGTCTCTATGCGACTTGCTTGATTTAAGCACTTCTTTTTGGTATTATTGGATCTCTGTGGTTAAAGCGATCCAATTCTCTATTATTGGATCTCTGTGGTTCTTTCTCGTCTCAAGTGAAGGGACCTTCACTTGTCATTGGCACCCCAATATAATCACGTAGGTGGCGAAACAAGGGAACCCTGTTCGCCCTGCAGGTGAAGGACGCGTCTCCTTGAGAGGCACGGTGTGAGGCACCACTACTACAACCGGGACAAGCGCAAGTGGCACAATTTTTGAGACGTCTCAAAAGTCGCCACTACTACAACCGGGACAAGCGCAAGTGGCACAATTGGGACTGTGTCCCGCAGTTCTGTCCCTTTGTCTCCCTACTTCGGTCCCTTGTTAGCTTTCTTTGCTTCTTTTCTTTCCCTCCCACAGAAATGCGACCACATTAACTTCTGCCTATTTCTTTCTTACCAAGAGGAGCGCCGTGCGCCACCAGAACTACAACCAGAAAATTTTTGAGGCGCCTCAAAAGTCGTCTCATGTCTCGCGGTTTTGAGGCGCCTCAAAAGTCGTCTCATGTCTCGCGGTTTTGAGGCGCCTCAAAAGTCGTCTCATGTCTCGCGGTTTTGTGGCGCCTCAAAAGTCGTCTCATGTCTCGCGGTTGTGAGGCGCCTCACAAGAGGAGCGCTGTGCGCCACCAGAACTACAACCAGAAAATACTTCTGTTTTGTTTCTCACAGTTCTTGCCCCTCTTTGCTTTCCCCCCTTATTCATTCCATTCCATCCACAGAAGTCCCACCACATAGACCTCTATGGCTTATTCCTGAGCGAGAGGCACGGCGTGCGGCACCTCTATTACAACCCAACGAGCTTAGGATTTCCATTCCATCTCTTACATTCTCTTCACGTTTGTTTCTTTTCTTTCCCACCAACAGAAGTGCCACCACATAGACCTGTACGGCCTATTCTTAAGCAAGAGGCACGGCGTGCGGCACCACTATTACAACCGCGACGGGTACATGCTTTACATTCCATCCCTCACATTCTCTTCACGTTTGTTTCTTTTCTTTCCCACCAACAGAAGTGCCACCACATAGACCTGTACGGCCTATTCTTAAGCGAGAGGCACGGCGTGAGGCACCACTACTACAATCGGGACGAGCAGATGCCGGCGCAGGTGACAATTGACCAGCTGGACCGGGAGTTCGTTCAGAGCATTGAGATCGCCGACGCGGAGCTTATGTGGATTGCAGATCCATGCCTTTACGGTGAGTGGGGAGAAGATGGGGAGGTGGGAGAGTGGGGGAGCAGGGCGCGTGACAATTGACCAGCTCGACCGGGAGTTGTTTGAGAGCATCGAGATTGCCGACGCGGAGCTCATCGCTGACCCGTGCCTCTACGGTGAGTGACTGTAAGGTTTGGTGGAGAGAGGGAGGTATAAGGAGCAGCTGGACCGGGAGTTTGTTCAGAGCATTGAGATTGCTGACGCGGAGCTTATGTGGATTGCGGAACCATGCCTCTATGGTGAGTGGTTTTACAGGGGAAGTGGGGGACGGGACAGGGGAGGAGGGGGTTGGGGGGGAGGGAGGGGGGGAGGAGGGAAAGATACGGAATGAATGCTCAAAAGAATGACGGCACCACTACTACAACCGAGACGAGCAGATGCCGGCGCACGCGACAAGCGAGCAGCTGGATCGGGAGTTTGATCAGAGCATTAAAATTTCTGACGCGGAACTTATGTGGATCGTTGACCCGTGCCTCTATGGTGAGGTAAAGTAAGGGGAAAAGGGGGAGTGGTGGTTTGGTGGAAAAGGGGGGGGAGGATACGAAATGAGGACTTCAGAGGAATATTTTGCACCACCCTGCTTCTCTCTTCTCCCTCCTCTCTCAGAGTGATGGAGGGCTGTTCATCCCTGTAGAATAAGTTTCTGCATGATGCATGATGGCTATGATGCATGCTGTACTGTAAACATCCTCTGCTCACTCTCCTATTTCCTCTCTCCTCTTCCCTCCCTCCCTCCTCTCTCAGACTGTCGAAGGTCGGTCCAGCGATGCAGCATGTGCATGCGAATCTCAGTGGACGAGTTGAGCCAGAAAACAGGTGCGTACGGTGCAGGTGGGTATAGTGCAGGTGGGTGCGGTGCAGGTGGGTGCGGTGCAGGTGGGTGCGGTGCAGGTGGGTGCGGTGCAGGGGGATGCAGTGACTGTGAGTGTGGCAGGGTTGGTATGGTATTATGTATGTCCATGTGCATGTTCACGTCTTGCCTGCATCTCATTAGACTTCTTGCCCCCCGCCCCCTCTCCCTCCTTTCCCATCCTCCCCTCCTCTCTCCACGGCTCCCCCCATCCCATCCAGAGTGGACGAGTCAGCAGCTGGCCTTAAATTTGCGCAGGGAGCAGTGGTGGCGGGAGTTCCTAAAGTGGCAGCTGGTGGTGCGGAGGAACTGAAGAAGAGTTCTTGCCCCCTCTCCTCTTCATCTCTTCATCCCCCCCCCTGCTCCCCCTGCCCCTGTCTCCCCCTTAATGCCCAAACCAGAGTGGACGAGTCAACAGCTGGCCCTAAATTCGCGCAGGGAGCAGCGGTGGCGGGAGTTCCTAAAGTGGCAGCTGGTGGTGCGAGAGGAGCTCAAGAAGAGCGTGCGGCTGCAGTTCCAGCTGCAGGCAGAACAGCGACGCATGCGCTCCTCCTCAGGCGGACTTGCAGGGGGGTCCCGCATGGACGGTTTGGGCGGAGATGGTACCGGTAAGAGTGGCAGAGGGAGAGGGGGGTTGGACACAGGTGGAGGAGCAGGAAGGGGGAGAGGAGCGGGGGGAGGGATTGGAGAGAGAGTAGGGGGAGGGAGTGGAGGAGGGGGGGGGGGTCTGCCTGGGGAGAGTGAGGATGAGTATGATAGTATTGACTGGGAGCGGGTGGTGGTAGAGGACATGCTCGATAAGCTATCGATGCACGAGGTGCTGCTGTACTTTAGGAGAAACCACCTCACGATTCCGGACACGCGCGCTCAGATGCTCCAGGCAGTGAAGGCGCATTATTTCTTTCTGCGAGGGGAGCTGCAGAAGCAGAAGAACCGGCTATATCGCCCCTCCGACTGATTTATCAGGGTCTTAACTCGTCCTCTCAAAAAAAAAAAAAAAAAGCTTCCATTTGTACCATGTACGGTATTTCAAGTTGTTGGCATATTTTAGTACTGTAAGAATTTTTATTCTCCTCCCTAAGCTGCCACGGTCCATAACCTTACAGAGTATCTCTCGAAATCAGTGATGAAGTGAAGGGACCAAGCCGTGAGAGGTCAAACCAGGGAAGGATTTAATAACCGAGTAGGTGTCATATTCAGTTAATTGTCGTCACATCTACTCACAGGCTTCATGGACCCATACTGATTATTTATTAGGGGATTCAATGGACTGAACAGTGATGTGACTTATACATAACCACAATATGCATTTGATTTTGAAGTAGCTGCTTAATCATACGCCAGGTGCTGTCTATATGACGCACCAGACGGGAATATACAGGCTCTGTACACCTCTTGCTGCCAATCTGGACACACAGCCCACTGATTTCAGGTGACTAGCCAGAATCTGTTGGAGCCAAAACCTGATCCAACATGCGTCTCGTGGTTAGCAATTAGGTTTGGATACACCTGAGAGTCTATCCAATCGGGAGCAAGCAACGTGACATGACCGCGGGCAGTATAGAGCCAGGTCGGATCCAGCACAGTGCCATCTCGCTGAAGCCTAGCTCGCGCGAGCCGCAGAGAAACAAACACAACCGCGACTCGGTCCCTCCCTCTCGCCCTCCCTCCCTCACATATATGTTCAATCACTGCCAATTCCTCCCAACATCAAGCATTGGAACTAATCGAGCAGCAGTGAATTATCTCAAATCGACTGTACCCTACTCCAAACTCTGTATTGTAGTTCCATCCGACTAATCAGACACCCTCCCTTCTCACTTCTCATACAAGAATGGCTAGAGCCGTGCTTCTCGCGCTGTCCCTGGCGCTGCTGCTAGCAGTCGCCCGCGCCGGCAGCCCCCTGACGAGCGCCACCGCGAACGAGAAGCCCGACCAAAGCAGCAAGAAAGACGACGGTCTGATGACCGAAGTTCCCGCAGATATCGCAAAGCAGGCCGCGGCGGGCAACGCGGCGGGAGTCACCTACGTGGATACCGCGCAGGACTCGTTCTTCATGGCTGATGTGAAGAAGGCGGGATGGAACGCGCAAAAATGCCCGCCTGGTTTGAACAAGGAGCTAGCGGGAGCGTGCACGCCCAAGAATTGCTCCAAGGGCGGCATCCCCGCTAAGTGGAAAACCGCTTATCTGCAAAAGAACAAGCTGGGTTACGAGCTGTACGTGCCGGGTAATCCGCTGACGTTGCTCAAGGCGAACCCCGCGTCGTGCTGTAACACGTGCGCCGCGACGCCGCTCTGCACGTACTGGCAGTACATTCCCGATATCACCATCGACGGGAAGAAGGGCAAGGGCGCGTGTTATTTGATCCACGACCAGATTGATTTTACCTGTGGAGAAATGACCGCGCAGTATTCTACGGAAACGAAGCCCGTGAATCTGCAGGTGCGCATCGGCGGAGAGTGTAATCCTAGCGCGAAGATTATGAACGACCCGCATTTGGTCGGCGCGCATGGCACGCATTTCGATTTCAACGGCCGCCCCGACAAGGCGTTCTGCCTGCTCACGGACCGCGATCTTCACGTGAACATGCTGCTGAGGGGGTATTACGACGAGCGCACTGATAGCGCCGCGCTTGTCGTTGACGGAAAGGCCGTGCACACGTGGATTAAGGAGCTTGGCATCGTCTGGACCGCTCAGGGCGCAGACCACAAGGTTCGGCTCGCGGCGCGCGGCGGCAAGCAGCAGGAGCGCGGCGACGGGTTTATGAAGAGCATCGAGATTGACGGTGAGGAGATCCCGAGGATGAAGGTTGGTGACACGGTGACGAGCGAAGGCGGGCTGACGGTTCAATTCCGCGGGCTCGAGAAGGAAGGACCGTTCGATGTGGATTATTACATGCTGACTGTCGACGGTCTGATTTCGCTGGATCTGCGCCTGCGCGTCGCGCACCCGAAGCTGCAGACCCCGACCGACGCCGAGGCGCATATCAACGTCGGGATTGCCGAGCTGGAGCACACAGAGGAGATCCATGGCGTGTTGGGCCAGACTTACCGCGCGGATCATGCGCAGCGCGCCGCGGATTTCCAGCGGTTGATCGCGAGCCTGCACCGTCCGATTTCGGCTGACGGGGTGGAGGGGAAGGGGTTCTTGGATGGTACACCCAGGTCGTATGAGGCGAGTGATGTGCTTGCTGTGGACTGCGCTTATACTGCGTATGGCCGCGCCAGGAAGGTTATGCCCGTACAACAGTTCCCGTAAAGAGTTGATTCGGTTACAGCACTTATACTTGTATTATACAGTGGGCTGCTTTGGATATTAGATTTGAAGATAAAGTGGGTTGATTTGTTTATTCTTTGGACGATGATATCAATGGGATGAGAAACCTTCATATTCATTGACTGAACCAGAAGGCTCAGATTCGAGATAGCTTCTGTAAGAGGTCATGCAAGCATGAAACGTACATTTTCCAACAAGGTCTACACAAGAAAGCAATAAATAAACGGGACAGAATCATGCACAGTTTTCGTCCAGTTGACGGTCAGTAGCAAATGTTCTGAGGCTGATCAGAACACTTCTGAGCGTCAGCTGGGGCTACGGCAGTCAACTTCTAACAGACAACCTGTTCCTAGCCATCCTAGCCATAATTGGGCACTGCAGTCTACTTGGGCACGGTCGTGCCAGCGGGGATGAGAATCTTATCCACGCCATGCGCGATGAAGTAAGGCCCAGCGTACAGCCGCGCGATCTGGATGGTCGTCCACGCGGCAGCAGGCGCGTTCGGCCCCTGGGCGAACGACACGGCGTTTCCATTTTGAGGCGAAACCTTGTAGATGGCTTGCTTCAGTTGAGTCGCCAGCGGCTGCGACTTCTTGAGCGTGCTCAGCTGACGAACGGTTCGCTTCCGAGGGAGGATGTGGTACGCGGTAATATTGTAGATGGTGGGGATGTTTTCGCTATTAGCGGGGAGCTTCTTAGCGAGGGCTTGGGCTTCTGTGTCGCTGGGGAGGAGGATGGTGGCGTCCTTGAGGGCTGAGAAGTCGTATTTGGAGTTGAACGCGAGGCCGATGTAACGGTTGATGTCCTTGGCGTATTTCGCGTATTGCGGGTAACGCTTCGTGATGTTCGTCGCCATGTTGTTCAGCTCCGCCTTGAGCTGTGCCTTGGTGGGCTTCGGCAGCGGCGCTTGTGCGCTCGCGCCAGCCACACAGAGGGCGACGCAGATGAGCCCGAGCATGGCGAGAACGCGAGAATTAACCATCTGCGTGGTGTGGCGAGACGAAGGCTCTGCTGCAAAAGACAGAAGCTCTAATACTGACGAAGGACAAACTATTGGTCGGATAAACTTGAAGGTTAGGAATTGGGTGGAAATCAGGATCGAGTTGGGTATGGAGCAGCGAACGAAGAACCGTGTGTTGCGGCGGAGGTCAAGGAAGAGTGACTTGGCTGGATGGGGGAAGCAAATTGGTTGTGATGAGAATTGAGTTGCTGGCGAGGAATTTGTACGAAGTGGTGGGAGGGCTGTGGCTGGGCTTACGAAAATTGCGAGCGGGCGTTTCGCGAACTTGGGTCCAAATGACGCATTGGAGCTCATCGCCAGCGGTGATCGCGGTGCGGCGAAGCAAGAATACGACAGCAACCTCGTACATTTCGGTGGAGAGAAGTGTGAGGCGTAGGGTAACAGCACGGACTGGGATGGATGGGAACCGACAACAGGGCGGCGAGGGAGGTGACGAAACTCTGGTGAAGGTGAGGGGTGTCCGCTGATGTGAACTAGCAGTTCTGGTTTGTCGTACTGATGGGAGTGTTGATTAGCGATGGCGTCGCGATGCCTTCCTCATTCAACGGCGATTGATAGGGATCCTCGTTAAAATCATAGAGGCTTTACCACAAGAAATTACTTAGTGTCGTAGTGGTTATGTAGAAATCGTTCACGACCCATAGAGAACTCGGAAGCCCACACACACAAAATCTACCACACCTTGCAGGCATGTCTCGAATTCTTGTTCACCTCTGAAGCATTTTCAACCGATCTGATAACAAATGTTAGCCCTTGACACTGCAAAGAAACGTTTCGAACCACCAGAATCATCGATACGAATGCAAGCCCAACCAGCACGCGTGAGTAATTTGGCACTAGATTGTCAGATTCTGTTATTCTAGAGCCTGTCACCAAATGACACTGGAGCCCCAGTCGTTGGGCACGAGGTTCCATGTCCGCCATTCGTGTCTATTATTTTCACATTGGAGATTCTACTAGCGATTTTGGTCACACCAACAGGAGCCGCATCGATTCCGATGACATTCGCAGCACCTCCAACTGCGGTCGCGACGATCGCACAGATTCCGAATTGCGAAAGCGACGATTGGGTTACGCGAGCAGCGAAAAGAGCGGCGTGAGCAACAGCTCTACGACTCACAGCGAGAGCCCGTCCCTTCGAGTGTCGGTCATAGAGGTACAATATTTACTGGTATTGAAATGTTACGTTTTCAGTGTCATTAGTGTACTTCTGTTACGAGATTTACAACAAATATATAGATTGCCGGTTTAGGGTGGGACGAAAGGGCCATTTTTATTTCCGTAAAAAAAAAAATTTCCAGTTGAGTGTAGAGCTAGGAACCACGATCTTCTCTCCTCCTGCCACAGTGCATTCCCGCCTTTCCCCATCCCCTGTTCTAATCGGTTTCCCTTCTAGGCCTGAAGGAGTCACTAATTCCGCGTCGCCTCCCTCGCCCCTGTGGCAGCACCTGGTTCACCACGTGGGGCTGCGTACTGCCCTTTCCCCCAGCTGATGTTCCCTTGAGGTGTATTTTGAGGCGCCTCAAAAGTCGCCTCCTTCGCCCCTGTGGCAGCACCTGGGTCACCACGTGGGGCTGCGTACTGCCCTTACCCCCAGCTGATGTTCCCTTGAGGTTTATTTTGAGGGGCGCCTCAAAATTCGTCTCCCTCGCCCCTGTTGCAGCACCTGGTTCAGCACGTGGGGCTGCGTACTGCCCTTTCCCCCAGCTGATGTTCCCCTCCTCCATTTCCTTATCCCCCCGCCCTCCCTCCAGCACCTGGGTCAGCACGTGGGGCTGCACACGTGGCCGTCAGCAGTGGTGCTGGGATTGATTTCTACTTTCTAACACTCCCTTTCACCGTTCCCCAACCCTCTCCGCAGCACCTGGGTCAGCACGTGGGGCTGCACACGTGGCCGTCAGCAGTGGTGTTGGCAGAATACCTGTGGCAGCACCGGGGGGTGATACAGGGGAGGAGTGTTATCGAGGTACGTATGTGATAGAGAGTTTCTACATGTACATCTATTGAGTATGTATATGATGTTTTGTGACAGCAAGAGTTTTAGGTCCCCATCTGAGTGAGTGGGAGTGGTGATTGCTTACCTACTCTCTCACCCTTTTCTCACCTTCTGTTGCTGATTCATTCTGTGGCTCATTCGTGGTTCATTCTGTGGTTCATTTGCGGTTCATTCTGTGGTTCATTCTGTGGTTCATTCGCGGTTCATTCTGTGATTCATTCTGTGGCTCATTCGCGGTTCATTATGTGGTTCATTCTATGGTTCATTCGCGGTTCATTCTGTGATTCATTCTGTGGCTCATTCGCGGTTCATTATGTGGTTCATTCTGTGGTTCTTTTCATGCCGGCACGGCAGCTAGGGGCGGGAACAGGCCTGTGTGGGATTCTCTGTGCCAAGCTTGGCGCACAAGTCACTCTCACAGACGCCCACTCGCAGACCCAGGTCAGCTGCTTCTTCTTCACACTCCTTCCTGTTTCTTTCCCAATACAATGGCCAGCTCACAAGTAAGAAACTCACTTCCTTCCACCAACGTGGTCCCCCTATCCTGTTCCCACCCGTTGCATGCTCCTCTGCTGTCTCAGGTTCTCTCCACCCTGCATCAAGCAGCAGAGCTGAACGGCCTCTGCTGTAGGGGAGAGAAGGGCTGTCAGTCACCAAAAGGAGAATCTGGGGGGTCTTTTGAGATGTCTCAAAAGTGCTCCCTCCAATCCCACTCCCACCTGCTGTCTCAGGTTCTCTCCAGCCTGCATCAAGTAGCAGAGCTGAATGGGTTCTCCTGTAGGGGAGTGGAGGCCTGTTCAGCATCAGGAAAAGAATCTGGGGAATATCGGGAGCGTGTTGAATCAGGGAAACTTGGGGAATTTGAACAAGCATCCTCACTGCCTGATGGGGGTGTGAGCGTGGAGCCACTCACCTGGGGCGACATGTCTCACCAGGTCTTTCAGCTGCCCCCTGCTGACGTCATTATAGGAGCAGACGTGCTCTATGATGCTTCAGGTGGGCTTCAGGTATGGTTCAGGCAGCTATGCCCTGTTTGGGCATCAAAACTGTTTTTTTTTTGGGGGGGGGGGGGGGGGGGGGGGGGGGGGAGATCTGGGGAATCTGGGGAATCTGAGATATTTTGGGGAATTTGAGGGTGTATCGTCACCGCCTGGTGGGGGTGCGAGCATGGAGCCACTCAATTTGGGCGACGTGTCTCACCAGGTCTTCCAACTGACCCCTGCTGATGTCATTATAGGAGCAGACGTGCTCTATGATGATTCAGGTGGGCTTCAGTTGTGCTTCAGGTGTTCTTTAGGTGTGTTTCAGGTGTGCTTCAGTTGGGCTTCATGTGTTCTATAGATGTGTTTCAGGTGGCTTCAGGCAGGGTGCATTATGGTGTTTGTTGCTTCAGGTGATTCTTCAGGTTGTGCTTCGCTGAGTGGTTCAATGAAGGGTGCTTTGGTGGATCTCCTGAATCTCTACTCTCTCCCTCTCTCTCCCTCACTCTCCACACACTCTCCGTGCCTCTCTCTCTCTCTCCCTCTCCTGCTGCAGCCTTTGACCCTCTCCTCTCCACGGTGCATCTTCTCCTAGGGTTGAAACGAGGCTCAGTCTTCATTACAGCCTATCAAGCACGCAGGTAGGACTGATCCCATGCCTCTGCCTTATCAGACACGCAGGCAGGATGAATTCGGCCTTCATGCAATCATGCTCACATGCCGACTCTCACCCCCCCGCTCCCAACCCCCGATTTCTTCCTCCCACCATGCGGCACCCATGCCTCTCTCCATCTGCTCATGCAGTCATGAAGTTGCTTCCTTCCATTCTCTTCCCCTCTCCCCATCCCCCATCCAGCACACATGCTTCCCTGAATCTCCTCATGCAATCATGGGGTCTGACATGCGTCCACATCCCCTCTGCCCCACCCTTCCTGCTCCCTTTACTCCCCCCATCCCCCATGCAACACGCATGCCTCTCTGCACCTCCTCATGCAATCATGCGGCTTCACACGGCATCTTCTCCTTCCACTCTTCCCCCCCCCTTCTTCCCCATACCCTGGGCAGCACGCATGCCTCTTTGCACCTCCTCATGCAGTCATGGGGCCTAACATGTATCCACATGGTATCAGCAGACGAGTTCATGCCGTCCAATAAGCTCGCGACTCTTGGCGGGAGCGAGATCTATGTTGCTGTAATTGCTACAGTGGCTGATTCGTAATTACCATCACACATGGTTGTACTGTACAGTTGAGTTGGGTATCAATATAGCATGTGTTGGAAATAAGAAGTCGCTAGAGCGCAGCGGAAGCTCTATGAATTAACGACGTCCCTACGGCGGGGCTATTGGTCACTCAGAGGTAGCTCTCCTGGCTTGCAACGTGGTGCCAAAGCAGCGGCCGAGGGTAGGCCGGACACAAGCTTGAGAATTGTGTAATATGAGCAAGGCATTACATTCTGTTATATAGCAAACGCATAGGGCAAACAGTTACCAAGGCGCAACTGTATAACAGTTGCGCTGCGTCGCTTGGGTTGCCTTGTTACAGTCGCGTTGGCGAGACTTTTCAGCTTCGGCAAGGGCGCGGTATCCTGCCGCGCCCCGCAGGTCAGTTTCGCGTACTGTAGACGATGACTCCTGCTGTCGATTCGACTCTTGAGCTGCCACGCGGGTCGCAACCGCTGTGTTCGGTTGCGGCCCGTTGACTCGCCACCAGGTTCAAATCCCTCGCTATGGCGAGCCCCTGTAAACACACTTCGAACAGTGCACTTATAATAAAAGCATACAAACATATTCTCAACAGCATGGTTGGTTCCGCTAGTTACATGTGGATGATTGTACAATAAGAGAGGATAAGAATATACAATTTTTTTACTGAATACGAGTTTTCACGCATGAGCGGTGGTGGCTCATCTGTGAGCTTCCCTCGTGTCATGCTGACTCATTTGCTCTTCATCCCCCATCAAAAATAGTATGTACAGCAAGCACGGCACCTTAATGTAGTGGTTTTTCAATATGCAGGTCTGGTGTAGTCCCCTGAACCCCATTTACCTGTTCTTATGAAGACAGACAAGAGCTGAAGCCCCTTTACAGCATTTGTGCTTACAATAAGCTCCTACTCTAACATATGCTCTGAGGTCAAAATCAACAGCAGCATGCTATACTGCAGTACTGATTGAGTTTGCTACCAGAAGTACTGCACCCATTCCAAGCTGCAGACTCTAAGCAAGCCCTTATTGCACATCACGTGCTTATTCCAAGCTCCAGACTAAAACCGAATTTTTTTCCTCTAAACTTTCCGGCATTTCAAAAGCAGCTGAACACTGAAAACCTCGGGAATCGGGGGTGCTTCTAATGCCGTATTCAGAGTACAAGTGCGAGGATAGCCGCTACAGTCAGCATCCATACAAGCTTCAGCGACACGACGAGCCTCTCGCCAGCGCTGTACACGCAGTCGTTATATTGTGAGTAAAAGTTTTCGCAGGCTGGCTCCTTCGTTTTCAAGCAGTCCGCGAAGTCGCTGTCGCATGTGACGCCGCCGGTCGACACACAACTCTCCAATTTGTTATCGCACGTCCCCGCCGTCACGCAACTGGCGTAACTATTGAAGAGACCGTCGCATTCGTCATCGTCGTCGTCGTCGTGATTTCGCGTCCTGTAATATGTCCTTCCCCAAGCCACTCTGCTCACTCCGCCGCCGCTTTTACCGCTTCCACCGCTTCTGCTGCCTCCACTTTTGCCGCCTCCGCTTTTGCCACCACTTTTGCTGCTCCCGCTGCTCTTGCCACTGCTGCTGCTGCTGCTTCCTTTCAATATCGCCTGTATATCACGCGTAGGAATAGGGGGAGACGGAAGGAAGATATATGTTATGAAGTGAAGGAATGGCAACAAATCGATCAGACTGAAAGGGGATGCGGATGCAGTGCAGCTATTGAGTCGCGAGGTCTCAACGTAGCCAGTGGGCTCGTTTCTCCGAGATTTGGATTTTGTATCAATTCAAAAGTAGCACCAGGTGGACAATCAGTGGCTGAAACTCACCCGGCGAGCTTGTGTGCCGTTCCGAACATCCCAACCGTCCATTTCTTCTCCACTTTCATCGTCTGTATGTGGCCGCGCATCGCGGCGCCGAAAAATGCCGTCTCGAGACTTGATCATGACTTCATAGTGACTTGGTCCCTCTGGCTGTGTCGCGTCGTCGTTCGGACCAATGCTGTGGAGAAAACTGGCGTCTGAATGTACGGACTGCTCAGGTTGACCTAATTGACTCGGCTGACTTGTTTTTGTGAAGAAGCCTGCGACGTCGTCCGTTGCATCGACCCTCGCTCTAGCTTCTATCGCGTACGTTTCGCTGCCCGCTGCAACGAACGGAAGAACCGCGGAGGTAATTACAAGGTAGATGCCGACGGCGAACCAAGGCAGACGGGAATGCAGAGTAAGACGGACAGGTCTTAAAGCCATGTTTGGTGCAAATCTTCTGCGGCAACGTGATTTTCTCAGGAGCGTGAGGTTGTCAACGCACGATCTTTGAGGCGCCTCCAAAGTTTCCAGTGCACGTACGTTGTTTGGGGCGACGATGCGCCCGCGCGGGGTCTTGAGAGGGCCTTGTACGATTACTACTAATAACAGTGACTCTAGAACAGCTGGTGCCGAGTCATTCCGAGGGCAGCGCTGCTGAGGCGAGGCACACTGACAGCATTGATTTTCCCTAGTGCTGTACGACTGACAGCAGGGGTCTCAACGACCAGCGCGTGGCGTAATGGAGTCAACGGTCCGGCGGGAGGAGGAGTGCACGAGCCGCTGGACCCACGGAATTATGGGAATGCGCTTACAATATAGGTTTAGCCGCGTTTCTTTCCTCTGATTTGACGTCCAGCAGTTGTTGCGGAAGGCGCAAAGGCTTCGCCAGAGCTTCTGGTAGTGAGAATTCTGCTCAAAATAGAGTAGTCGCTACGAGATTTTACAAATGTTTGTGCCTATTTATGCTCAGGATGCTCGCAATTCGGCTTCCAAGCACAATAATTGCGGGATGGCGGTAGTGGTAGAACTAAGGGAGGCGATTCATCCAATTCCTGAGCATTTGTTATCTCCAACAACGAAGCGCCCCGAGATATACAAATGCGCGAGCCGCACCAATAATTTCGTTCATCGTGTGAAGCAAATTGTCATGGGTGAAAGTTGCGTAAGTTGCGGCAGACACTCTCACAAAGTCGAGTACTGGTGTAAGACGAAACTGTATAAGTGCCAAGCTTGAATGCTTGTGTCGGTATGCGGAGTTGTCAGAAAAGAAGAGTAATCCCGATTTTGGTTCGTGGTCTCTGAAACTGGTATCGTTTGGAGAACGTCAGGTGTCAACCATTAGGTGTCATTTGGCAATGCTGTGGCGTTTGTGAAGGTGCCGAAAACAATATGCGGATTATATCAGGTACAAAAATCAGAATTTGGATGCGACCTCAGGTCCTAGAGTCGACACAGCCCAGTCCTAGTTATGCTTCCCCCGCTCACACACGCGCGCACACACAAGCGTGTCAGGCAGATCCCACGGCAGAGCCGTCTTTCGTGCCGTAAAAATCTCCTACCCTTTCCTATCCGATCTGACGTGCTGAATTCACTCCACCTGCTGGTCGAATTAGCGGTCAATCCACACGAGCCCTGGGATTACTGATCCACTGTACAGTACCATCTCTCAGAGCGCATCCACCCTCGGTATCGCCGCCATGCTGTCAGGCGCTGAGTCGGCAGCGCTTCTGTCTGTGCTAGCAGAAGACAAGTCCTTCAAATCCAACGCCGATGCATTTTCCCGCGCTTTCCCTCCCGCCCGCCGCTTCACCGCCTGCTGCGCCCTCGCCATGCTCCTCGAGGTGGGTCTAGTGACGCGCTTCGAGTCGTAGTCCTCTTGTTTATAGTTCCGATCTCTGCTTTGAACTCTTGCGATTTTCCTCCCGCCCGTCGTTTCATCGCCTGCTCCCCTATCGTCATGCTTCTGGAGATTCGTCGAGAGCTGCAAGCTTCCTTGTCATCGCCTTGATGAGGCGATTTTTGAGTCGACTCAAAAATTGCTTCTGGAGATTCGTCGAGAGCTGCAAGCTTCCTTGTCATCGCCTTGATGAGGCGATTTTTGAGTCGACTCAAAAATTGCTTCTGGAGATTCGTCGAGAGCTGCAAGCTTCCTTGTCATCGCCTTTGTCAGTCAGTATAGTATACTTATTAGCGATTCCCCTGATTCGATTCTTAAGGCGCCTCTAAAAACGTTATGGCCGTGAATCTCTTTGTGTCGGTGTAGTTTTACGTATCAGGAATTACCCCTGATTCACGCACGTGACTGTACAGGATGGGATAGCGTTGAAGGGAGCTCAGCGCCTCATCTCGCTGTTCCTCCTGGATCACTCCTTTCACAACGAACCGTTGAAGGATCACCCCTTCGCTCCCCTGCTGCTGCATGTGAGTTCATCCCCCCTGTTTCCTTCTCATTGCCCATTGCGATATTCCTCCTGGATCACTGCTTTCACAGCGAGCCGTTGAAAGACCACCCCTTTGCCCACCCTGCTGCTACACGTGAGACTTCCCCGGTCGCCCCCCCTTGCTGCTACCCGTGAGGTTCTACTCCCTCGCCTCCACTTGCTGCTGTGTCCTTCTGATTGTACATCTCGCTGTTCCTCCTGGATCACTCCCTTCACAACGAACCGTTGAAGGATCACCCCTTGCTCCCCTGCTGCTGCATGTGAGTTCATCCCCCCTGTTTCCTTCTGATTGGTCATCTTTCTGTTCCTCCTGGATCATTCCTTTCACGACAAACCAATGAGGGACCAACTCTGCTGGATGTGGGACTGTCGTTCACAGCCTGTGCCTCCTGTCGGTGCCTCTGCCTCCTTAGATCAATGTACATGCATTTGTTCTCCTTCTCTCCACATGTCAACATCGTGTCAGCATCTTAACGTGTCAGCATCTCAACGAATTAAAGGCACTCCGGTATTCCCCTCCATCCCCCAGGTGGCATCAGAGGCATCCCTGCCGGCCATAGAGCGCTGCTGCGCCCTCAACCTGCTCTCACACCCTCCACCCCACTTTGGTGGCATCCCCAGTGGGTTCGAAAGTCTCATTGGGTCTCAAAGAAATTCCTTGTTACCCCTACTGATATCCCAGGTGGCATCAGAGGCATCCCTGCCGGCCATAGAGCGCTGCTTCGCCCTCAACCTGCTCTCACACTCACTTGCGGATGTAAGTCCGCACAAGTCGATTTCTGAGTTGACTTAGAAAGTCCGCAAGAGTTACATCCGTCCGCAAGAGAGCACACGAGACGGATGTAACTTCTGTGCCCATGTGCTCTCTGCCGTAACTTCTGTACCCATGTGCTCTCTGCCGTAACTTCTGTACCCATGTGCTCTCTGCCTTAACTTCTGTACCCATGTGCTCTCTGCCTTAACTTCTGTACCCATGTGCTCTCTGCCTTAACTTCTGTACCCATGTGCTCTCTGCCGTAACTTCTGTACCCATGTGCTCTCTGCCTTAACTTCTGTACCCATGTGCTCTCTGCCTTAACTTCTGTACCCATGTGCTCTCTGCCTTAACTTCTGTACCCATGTGCTCTCTGCCTTAACTTCTGTGCCCATGTGCTCTCTGCCTTAACTTCTGTGCCCATGTGCTCTCTGCCTTAACTTCTGTGCCCATGTGCTCTCTGCCTTAACTTCTGTGCCCATGTGCTCTCTGCCTTAACTTCTGTGCCCATGTGCTCTCTGCCGTAACTTCTGTACCCATGTGCTCTCTGCCGATGTCTGTAACCTTGTGTGCCGTCTCAAGCCTTGTCATTTGTGTACTTCCCTCTCTTGTCATCCACCCACCCTCTCTTTCCCTCACATCCCACTATCCCATTGTTCCACTCTCTCACCCATTTACCCGCCCACTCACCCTCTCAACCACTCACCCTCTCTCCCACTCACCCTCTCTCCCACCCACCCACTCTCGTCGTCCAATCGGCCACTCTGAACTCCTTTTTAGGTGCCCAGTAAGTCAGCTCGGGACTATATGCAGCACTTCAAACCGCCCAACCAGGTGTGTGCGTGTGAGAGGGTGTGTGTGATGGTGGGGGGGGGGGGAGAGGGACTGCTATGCCTGTATTGTCACAACTTCCTCTCAGGTGCCCAGCAAGTCAGCTCGGGACTATGTGCAGCACATTAAATCGCCCAACCAGGTGTGTGGTAGAGGGAAGTCGGAGAGAAGGATAGCGTGTGTTGGGGTGAGTGGGAGTGTTTGGGTGAGAGGGAGAGATTGTGTGTAGTGTGTGTGTGTGCGTGCGTGTGTGTGGGTGTGTGTGTGTGTGTGTGTGTGTGTGTGTGTGTGTGGTGTATATGTGTGTGTGTGTGTCTGAGTGTGTGGTGTGTTTCATTGTGTGTGTGGATGGGTGGGTGCGAGGGTGTGTGCCTCTGTTTGTGAGTGTGCGTGCGTGTGGGCGTGCATGCATGTATGGGGCACTGCTGTTTCTTCTGTGCTTCGTGTGTGATACTGCTGAACTCACAAACTAGTCTCTCTATCCCTTGTTCGACCTTACTTCTCACACCCTCACCTCCAATTTGATCCCTGACCCTTACCCTGAAATTTGAACCCTGATTCTTACCATGAATCTTCAGACCTGAACCTCAAGGGCCGTGCCTTGAATCTCAGCCATGACCATAAGCCTGGATGTTGGAATACTGGCTCATCATACTGTGTAGCATTTCTGAGGCGCCTCAAAACGACTTTTAACTTTTGAGGCGCCTCAAAACGACTTTTAACTTTTGAGGCGCCTCAAAAGGGCCGTGCCTTGAACCCCAACCATGACCATAAGCCTGGATGTTGGAATACAGGTTCATGTACCCATTGGAATACATGTAGCATTTCTTCCCCTTCCCGTCTGGGTCGCTTGTGAATAATTCAGAAGATTTGTAAGGGAGCTTGTGTATAAATCTCCCTTGTGTATCATTACTTCCCTTACCTTGTGCAGCTCCCTTCGCGTGAAGCCATCTACAAGGCACACCCCGACATCAAACCCTCGTTTTCCTCTTCACGCTCCGCCACATCCTCTGCTTTCAAAGCTTCTCCCTCCTTTACTTCATCATCATCATCTGCCCTATTTCCTTCCACTGGGCTCAGTGGTTGCAATGCATTCAAAGCAGCAGCAGTACCACGTGTGCTTAAGTGCTCCAAACGCACTGTGACTGAGTGTGTGCAAGCACAGACAGCACAGCAAGCAGGAGCGCCAGCAGCATTGGCATCTCAGGGGTCAAAACAGCTTGAGGAGAATAGAAGTGGCAAGACTCCTGGGCATGGGACAGCAGTATCACCAGCATTGGCAGCATCGGCAGTATCTGTAGCGTCGTGCATTCAGCTGCTACAGCTGGGAGGAATGGGAGGGTTCGAGCCTCCTTGGATTCGACCTCTGCCGCCCCTGCTGCCCCCGCAACCAGGCGAGGTATGGTGAAGGCAGGTCTGGTGAAGACAGGTATGGTGAAGGCAGGTATGGTGAAAGCAGGTATGGTGAAGGAATGTACGGTGAAGGCAGGTACGGTGAAGGCAGGTACGGTGAAGGCAGGTATGGTGAAGGCAGGTACGGTGAAGGCAGGTACGGTGAAGGCAGGTACGGTGAAGGCATGTACGGTGAAGGCAAGGTATGGTTCTGGTCAAGGTGAGGTACGGTGAGGGCAAGGTGCAGTGACGATGAGGTACAGTGAAGAACGAAAAATGAGGCAAGGTATTTTCTTCTTCTTTCTTCCCCCCCCCCCCCCCTCCTCCCCAGATGGATGGAATTGTGGAAGATTTTCCATCAGAAGAAGCATACGCAGTAGCTTCATCAGCAGGACCGTCAGCAGCAGTAACACAATCTTCTGCTAAACCAGCAGCAACAGCAGTAGCAGGCACCACTTATGCTACTCAACAAAGGCTGGGAAGAAGTCAGAGCGTAGTAGAAAATATTCAGTCAGAAGGGCGCAGGGAAGGAGACGGAGCAGGGGAGTTGGAAGAGGGAAGAGGAGGCATGGCAGAGGGAGTGAGAGATGGAGAGGGTGGCAGGCGTGTTGGTGGGGGTGGGGCGGGGTCCGAGGGGGAGAGGGAGGGGGAAAGGGAGGGGGAAAGGGAGGGAGGAAGAAGGGGAGAGGGAGAGGGAGGGGGGAGTGTAGAGTTTCAGTTGATGCAAAAGGCATTGGAAGGTCCGCTCATGCCCAATCATCAGCAGGTGAGGCTGACTCAGCAGCAGGTGAGGCTGACTCGGCAGCACATAAGCCGGACTCAACAACAGGTTAGGCTGACTCAGCAACAAATGAGCCTGACTTGGCTCTGTCTGAGTAAGCAGCAGTTGAGGATGTCGTGGCACCCTCCAATAAGCTCGTGGTTCCGTCGAAAAAGTGAATCCAAGGGGAGAAAGTTAGACGGGAGTGGGTTCGAGGGGAGTGGGTTTGAGGGGAGCGGGTTCGAGGGGAGTGGGTTCGAGGGGAGCGGGATCCAAACACACTCCCTTCAATCCCACTCCCCTCGATCCCACTCCCTTCGATCTCAGTCCCCTCGATCTCACTCCCCTCGAACTCGTTCCTCTCGAACCCTCTCCACTCAAACCCGCTCCCCTCGAACCCGCTCCCCTCGAACCCACTCCCCTCGAACCCACTCCCCTCGAACCCACTCCCCTCGAACCCACTCCCATCTGATTCCCTCCCCTTGGACTCACTCTCCACAGACGCACTTCCCTCAAACCCGAAGGGCGAAGGGATCTATTTTTCAATCAGTGTGCCTGCTGATCCTTCAAATGGGTCTGCACAACCGTTTTCTTTACTGATTCGATTTAAGAATAGACCCCTCCAAAGGGTCGTCAAAATCCCTTGAACTTCATTTGGCCCTTCCCCCTTTCCCCACCGTTCATTTCTTTCCACCCCTTCAACATGAGCTCCTCTCTCTTCTCCGCCAACCCATAGAAATGACTAATGAGATCCGTAGAATTCTCATACGTGTATTTTTTTTTTTTGGCTTCCACCCCCAACCCTTCCAACAGGAGCTCCTCTCTCTTCTCTCCGCCAATCCGTCTCTCATCACCGCATGTGGCCTGCAACCCTTGACCCTGCCCGTACGTGCCTCCCGTCTAATGCGCCTAAATCGTTCAGGTCTTGACTCAGCCTTTGCGATGCAGACCCTCTTCGCTCCGCTTATCCATGTTCGCCCATCTCCCTCCCCTCTCCTCTCTCCCCGTTCTTTTGGAACACAATCCTGACATCGCTGTATGTGTCCTCCCTCATCCTCCCTCGCACTCCCTCTTCGTGCTTCATCTATCCCTCTCCCTCTTTCCCACTTTTGTTATCTTCCTCTATCCCGCTCCTTCCTTCCCCTCTCTCCTCCATCACTCTTCCCCCAGCCTCTAGTGAAACACCATCCAGACATTGCTGCATGTGCTCTCCGTCTCACTTCCTCCCTTTTCCTCCTCCCTTTGTTCCCCTCTCTTTCTCTCCATCCTCCCTCTCTCACCCCCAGCCTCTAGTAGAACACAACCCAGACATTGCTGCATGTGCGCTTACTCTGCTGCTGGCATCTCAGCCGGCTTTCGAGTAAGGGGAAAGGGCCACCACATGGAATGGAGGAGATTTTCGGAATGGCAAAGGCTGTGGATGGTTCAATGATTTTGAGTCGCCGCTGCATGTGCTTTCAGTCTACTGCTAGCATTGCTACCAGCTTCCGAGTAGGCAGGGGAGAGGGGTCTCAAACGGAATGGCAGAAAGCATGGAATGGCAAAGGCTGTCGATGGTTCACTCAATGCTGTTGTGCTGCATGTGCATGTGCATGTGCACGACGTTATTCTGCGACTTTCGAGATGTTTCAAAAGGCTGTGGATGGTTCACTCAGTACTGTTGTGCTGCTGCATGTGCTCTCTCGACTTGACAGCCCAAGGTCGTGGTGCATGACTTCATTCTGCGTGTGCTCTCTCTCTCAGCTGCCCCTTAACCTTTCATTGTATTGGTGTGCGTTGTGAAATCCTCCACAATACATACACCCACAATCCCCTTACAGCCACTCCCACAGGTACCTGGAGGTGTTGCCTCGGCTGTCCCTGACGCTCCACTCACTAGAGGTTGTGGGGCGCGTGGCCAAGGCTGTTGACTTGCCACTCCCTGTCCTTGACTTCAACCTCCTTCCTCTTTCGCCGATTCCACCACAGGTACCTGGAGGTGTTGTCTCAATTACCCCTCACCCTGCACTCACTCGAGGTGGTGAGCCGAGTGGCAAAGGCCGTTGACTTGCCGCCCGATTTCATCCACTCATACGTCAGCCACTGCATGCGGTGCTGTGAGGAGACCAAGGTGGGTCAAACGGTATATTTGAGTATAATATTAATTCCTAAAAGTTGCTTGCTGCCCGATTTCATTACTTGCGGCCCGATTTCATCCACTCATATGCCAGCCACTGCATGCGGTGCTGCGAGGAGACCAAGGTGAGTTCAACTTGCTATTTCTGTACAAGCCTACTTAGGCGGGCTTTAAGTTTGGTGTAATATTGTCTGCTGTCCAGTCTATCTATTCATTAGTATGGCAGCCACTGCATGCGACGCTGCGAGGAGACCAAGGTGGGTCCAACCAATGGGGGCTGAGGCGCCTAAAAATTTGCGGGATAAGAGACGACTTCTGAGGCGCCTCAATGGGGGTTGAGGCGTCAAGGTTAGGGAGTTTGTGCTGAGTGAGTGTGATGTTTGTGAGTGAGTGTGATGTTTGTGAGTGAGTGTGATGTTTGTGAGTGTGATGTTTGTGAGTGAGTGTGATGTTTTTGAGTGAGTGTGATGTATGTGAGTGAGTTTGACGTATGTGAGTGAGTGTGATGTTTGTGAGTGAGTGTGATGTTTGTGAGTGAGTGTGATGTATGTGAGTGAGTGCGAAATGAGCGGTTGTGTGGGGAGTGAGGTGAGCGATTTTCAAGTGAGCGCAGTTGTGAATTGAGTGAGTGAGAGGTGACTGATTGATAGGTGACTGAGTGAGAGGAGACTGAGTGAGAGGTGAGCGAGTGTGACGTGCAAGTGCAAAGTGAGTGAGTGTGTGTGGTGAGAAAGTGCAAGTGTAAGGCTGTGCCCTTTTGTGTCCCAACCAATCCAACCGAACTCACTCCATACATGCAGGATAAGAGCATGCAGAATCGCCTTGTGCGGATCGTTTGCATCTTCCTACTGAGTCTCATCCGCGATAACATCATCAATGGTACACCCTCAGAGACATTATTCCTTACGCATGCAATTTTTATTCAATTTACCTCAATTGGCTTTCTTTGGCCACAACCCCAGTGGAGCCGCCTCTGTTTTCCTCCACAAATGTGTAGCTAATCATTTCTGTTAACCGATTGCGTTTACGGTATACGAATGTCATTTGCAACCCCATTTTCCATGTGGCAGTGGAGGCGCTTTTCATTGAGATGCAGGCATTCTGTATCGAGTATTCGCGGGTCAGGGAAGCAGCAGCCCTCTTCCGCATGCTCAAATCCCTCGAGTGACATCTCATGCAAGCCACGAGTTAGAAGTTGATTTTTTAGATGTCTCAAAAAGGAAGCAGCAGCCCTCTTCTGCATGCTCAAATCCCTCGAGTGACATCTCCTACCATATATGCCTCTCAAATATCATGCGATTGGCTCAGATCATATTGGTTGACTGATGCATTGTATAGTCACTTGTTCCCCAAACTGTGTTTGCACGAGTTGTGCAAGACACGTGTTGTGTGATCCCTGAGACTTTACACCAAGCAGTAAGTATTATGTAGAAGTGATGGAAAAAAGAGTTTACACAAGCGTGTAGGTAAGAACCTGATGAGTATGGTCTCAAAGACAGCAAATATGCAGCGGATGTAAGCCCCCTGACTCTCCATACCCTGTATCAGCCTAGCAGCAAGAGCCAGTGAGGTATGAAGTTCATGGCATTGACACATGGAATGGTCGCTTCGCAAGGCTATATACATCAAGCATCCCATCCCAGGTGGGACAGACAGCTAGGCAGGTGACTACTGCTGTCTTCTATTGCAGGTGACTCCGCAATTTCAGGTCAGTCCAGAGGTTGGACCAACAATTTCTAATGCAGATCAACTACACTTCTAAGCTAACAGACGGTACCCGTATCATGCTTTTATAGCTTCCTACTTGGGCAACCTCGTTCCAGCGGGAACTATGACCTTATCCACTCCGTGAGCGATAAAATACGGCCCAGCGTAAATCCTCATGATCTTGATCGTCGTCCACGTGGCAGCAGGCGCTTTCGGACCCCTGGCGAACGACACGACGTTCGCACCTTTGGCCGAGATCTTGTACAGAGCCTGCTTTAACTGAGTACGGAGCGGCTGCGCTTGCTTGAAGGCCTTGAAATTCGGAACGGTGTATTTTTTGGCGATGATGTGGTACGCCGTGATGTTGTAGACGGTGGGGATGTTGGCTTTTGTAACGGGAAGCTTCTTAGCGAGGGCTTCGGCTTCTGCGTTGCTGGGGAGGAGGATGGTGGCATCCGCGAGGGCTGAAAAATCGTATCTGGAGTTGAGCGCGAGGCCGATGTACTTGTTGATGTCCTTGGCGTATTTCGCGTACTGCGGGTAGCGTTTCGTGATGGTGGTCGCCATTTTGTTTAGCTCCGCTTTGAGCTGCGCCTTGGTAGGCTTGGCTTTGGGCTTCGTTTGTGCGTTCGCGCCAGCTACGCATAGGGCGACGCAAATGATCCCGAGGACAAGAATGGCTCGAAGGTTAGCCATCGCTCGGCGAGAAGGAACGAATTGTTGAAGTTAGCAGTCCTAGGATCGAATCTAAGAATGTTGTCGAGATAAGACGCTAGATTCTGGAAGCGTCTTCGGATGAGCGAAATTCGGGTAGAAGGAAATGAGAGCTTGATGCTTGACTTGGAGATTGATTGTGAGTCTGTGAGTGTTCGTAAGGGTCGTCGGTGTATGTATTAGTAGTTTCTATTGGAGTGAATGTGCAGAGGGGAGGGGAGGTAGTTCCAAGGTAGCGGACATGGTTTGAAGAAAGGCGGTGCTGCAGCACGCACGGCAGTCAACCTGGGTTGACGCGGCGAAACGGGAGTTTTCGCAGGCAGTGGAGTCGGTGTACACATGTTGCTCAACTGCTGCGCTCGAATTTGCCCTGCACGCGCCAGAAACTCTGCGCGCGTGTATTTTGGCCCAGCCAGCTGCACCCACGTTATAGGCTCCCGGTGCCACTTGGGCAAGTGGTCACCACACGACGAAAGCTGCCCATGCGTATGAGTCAAATGTGGTCGTCCCTTACCATTCTTGTTTTCAGGCCAAAAACAGGCGTCGCGAAAACCGTGGTCGAAACTAAAATGACGTCGCGCACTTCTTCGCTGCCTGACTGTACGCCACGTCGGTGCGGCGCAATGTGCACCAAACGCACACATTGCACTCATCGGCGCCACGTGTACGTTGTGCAGCCAGGACGTAGCCACGTATTGACCATGAAATGAACACAAAACCCACGTCACTAAATGAAATGAATTGGACATTCGTGTCCGTTAAACACACATTTACGGCGACATTCACGCTCTAGCGCATAGACACTGGCACTATGAACTAACCATGATCGTTAAAAACACGTCACCCCGTGTGGTATGGAGTGATCCCTTTATGTTATACGCACCCTTTTTGGCCATACACATTCCCACAATGTTGGATAAGCCAATTTTGTGCGTTTCAACAGCTGTTTGCTTAGAGCCAAACGAGCAACACAATGTGAGGATAAAATGACATTCGCTCGAGCTACTAAGACATTGTTCTCACCACCTTCACTCACCATGCCGCGCCTAATGCGCCGCTCCCAGCTTCCAGTCCACATCAAAAGGGCGATATGCGAGCATCACGTTAGCAACCCCCGTTTGCGCCATGTCGACCTTGCGCGCTGGTGTTTCACTCGTTTCGGTATTCGCCCCGACCGCTCCACGATTGGCCGCGTCATCAAGGGCGCGGAGCGGTGGAAAACCACCAATGCGAACAACAGTACCGTTCGCGTACGCGGCGGTGCTCATCCGGACCTCGAGCAGGCCATGGTCCGATGGATCTCCAACGCCGGACCTGCGGGGATTCCGTTCACCTTGGCGACCATCCGCGACCACGTGGCCGTGATGGCACGCGACATGGGCAAGCCGCCCACCTTCCGCTGCTCTGTCGGGTGGGTTTGCCGTGCTATGCGGCGCAACGGCATCCGCTGCATTGCTTCGTCGGGCGAGGCCGCCGATCAGGACATGGCGGCGGTGCGAACGTGCCGTGAGAAGCTTCCTCAGCTTCTCATGTACCATTCCGTCTCGCCGAAGGATGTGTACAACTTCGACGAGACGGCGCTGTGGATTTCGGTGCTGCCGCGAAAGACCTACGGCGCATCGCGCGTGGCGGGCCGCAAAATCGCCAAGGAACGCCTCACCGTGGGCCTGCTCGTGAATGCGGACGGAAGCCACGCGTTCCGGCCGCTCGTCATATCCAAGTCGAAGCGGCCCCATGCGTTCCGTCCGGATTACGACCCCGACGCTGTGTGCTACTGGCGCCACAACACCAAGGGGTGGATGACCGCTCCGGTAAGCGCCTTCCATCTAGGACGCACGCCCGTTAATTTTGCGTAAGGTGTAGTTACTATGTCTGGCCGACCTAGCCATAGTCGAACGGGCAATCTCACTCACTTTGATTCTCTCCCACCCCACTTTTGTTCCCGCGGCAGCTGTTCACCCATTTTATGGAGCAGCTAGATGCTGCTATGTTCGCGGAGGATCGCAACATTGTCATCCTCCTCGACAATGCCTCTAGCCACGCACTCAAGAGCACCTTCGGCTCCGAAGACATCTTCGGCTTCCGCACTCGCTCCCTCCGCAACATCCGCGAGGTGTTCCTCCCGCCGAACACCACCTGCTTCACCCAGCCGCTTGACCAGGGCCTCATCGCGATGATGAAGGCACGTTATCGTCAGCATTGGCTCGAGGCGATGACGGCACTGGGGGTGGAGGGCGGCTCCACGGCGTCTCTGGCGCGCTTCAAGTCCAATCTTCGCGACGTCCTTCACTGGCTCTTGGACGCGTGGATGAACATCGGCCCGCGCACGATCCAGCGTTGCTGGTGGCGCACGGGCTGTCTTCCGCTCGCGTGGGCCTTATTCTTGGCCCACGTGGGCGCCGGCGGGCTCACTCCTGGCGGCACGGTTGCTGCTCCGCTGCCCATCGATCTTGACGAGGAGATCGGCGACGTGGGCATCATGATCGGCCGGCTTGCGCTCGGTCCGAGTGCCATGCCGGTCGCCGACTTCGTCGCCATTGATGACGGCCAGCCGACGTGCGCCGAGCCGGGGGAGGATCCCCTCGCCCTTGAGCCCGCGACGTCGTATTCGAACGAGTCTTGGGAGCCGCCTGCGACTATGCAGGCCGTGTACGACGATGTGGACCCGGCGACGCGCGAAGCACGTCGCACGGCGCGGGCGGCGTGTGAAATGCTCATCGGGTATGCGAGGGCGACAGGCGTCACCCCCCGCGAGCTGTGCGCTCTCTTTGAGATTCGCAACCCCATCATCATTGAGCGCATGGAGCGGGCAAGCCTGCCCATCAACTTGAACATGACGCCTATCGCCACTTCTCGGCCTTCCGCTGCCCCTGATGGCGGGCGCCCTCGCCCTCGCGGCCGCGTCCTTCCGGCATGGATGACGGCACCCTCCCCTCGCCAGGCGCTGATTGACGCCGGTGTTCACGCCGTCATGGACGGCTTTGTTGATGCGCCTGAGTGGGTGCGTCTGTGAATGTGCCTCGCTCACCTCTGTTGAGTTCGAACTCCATTCATGCTTGGCAACAGCGTCAACATCTCGTTGACATTGCACCAATGTCAGCGTTGACTGGTTGAGTTCTTAGTGGTCGAGGTGTCGATCTGGGATTGGCCTAAGAGTGCAAGAAAAAATTGGTTGCGGGTGGGTTGCGTTCTGCCTATGTTTGTGATTGGTGGGATTGTCTGTTGTAATTGGGCGAACCTGCAACGAGGAAACAAATTGGTAACCCCAAGCACACATGAGGAACAAACCATGCAACCCATTACTGTTACGGGTAAAAAAAATCAGTAACTTTGTAAGTTTTTAAAAGCACGCCACAGGCGTGGCGAAAACTAACGAACCCGCCGAAATACAAAATGCACTTACAGTCCCAAATCACAAGGCGACCTTGGGGAACTCAAATGAGCAACAGCTGTAACGA